ATGTAACATTAGCTCCGCTTAATTATTTCATTGTGGGAATCATTGGGGTCACCTCTAACGAGCTGGCTAGAGGTGCGGGCAGTCACTTGTGTGTGTTGGACCACCTCCAAGTCTGCCGCCATCTGATCAGCTGTTCGTGCCATCATGACATTGTGTCCCTACCGGTAGAATGAGGGGAGAGGAGGGATACGCGTTTTGTGCAGGATTGGCTCTGGCAGGCACGCCGCTCGTCACGCGGTATCAGGTCAGCGCTGAGTGCCAGCAATGCAGCGCCGCGCGCTGCACGTGGCCAACTTGAGAATTAACGAATACACTCGATGTCAATGTTTAGGAGATCACTTGCAGATAACTCCATTTATAACTCGACCACTGACGTGAAGCTGTTAAGATGTATGCTTGCATGTGTTTATTTCGTAAGTTGTGAGTAAGCCTGCAATTATCCAGGGTACAAAATTACACATTAGGATTTATTGGGTGCTTGCGTTGGTTATTATAATGTGTGGTGGTGCTGTGTCTGTGAAAACTACACTCATGGTGTGTTCATGTTTAGCCACTTTCAGAAGCTTCTCAAAATGGCATCAACACGTGGTTCGTAATTTATGGTGGTAGTGTTTAACAGTGAATGGACATAACGAATGGTGGGTGTGTGTGGTTGTTTATGGGATGTGGTGTCCCTTAAGCTTTGGATATTTGTTTCATTGTACGGTACAGACAATAACAGTCCATTGACAGGATTCGTATGGTGGCGGTGCAGTGTGGGTATTCCCACTTCCTTCAAGATGCCAGGCCAGTCTGGAAGAGTAGGCCATTGTAGCCTCCAGAAGGGCTCTCTACAGCCCCCTCTAGTGCAGGCCCTCGTGCCAGCAGTTGGTGTGAGCAAGAAAATGGCAGGGCTGCATCTTTAGCCTTTTTTTCTTACAAACAATAATCTCAGTCAGGCTACAAAAATCAGGTCCGCCGTTTGTAAACCTGCAAACACTATATTTTGCTTTTTCATTGTATTTGCTTGGTGATTATAACTTAAATGAGAGCCATTATTTAAATCATGTACAAGCTATTGATTTATCATGAACGGTTATGTAAACATCCTTGTGAATGTTGTGTCGCTGGGTCAGTCATTTCCATGTCCCCCCCTCTGCATTAATTTTAACCGCGTGATTAATTCCCATTGTAATTGTTTCACGCCTCCGTATAGGAGCAGAATTAACGGAGCTGTTTGAAATCTGCAGTAACCATGGCACCAGGCCGTTGGAAGGATTTCATTGGCATAAGGGTAGGATCAGTGACACTTGTCATTGCGCCAACCAGCGCCAGTTCTCTGTGGTACGTCTTTAATGACAGGGCATGCCATACAATTGCATTGAGATATTAAAGCACGCTTATTCCACAAGCTAGCATCTATGACGAGTGTTCAGACCGCAGGAATGGCTTTTGGGACCTTGGGGAAGAGTGCCAAGTCTTGTAATGTACCTTGGCTTTGACTTGAGTGGGCAGAGGGAAAGGCAGATACTAGCTTTGCTGATCATTGCTATGCCATGGATCAGAAACATGGACCATTGACAAAGGAAATGGAACAAAGGCTTATAAGCTTTTTTTCAATAGACCGTTGAGAAGTGAACACTTGGAATCGCACGAGAGTCAGAAAGAGGAACACGTGCATTCGAAAACATATGCAAGTTAAACACGCACATTATTGACTGGCACGAAGGTAAAGTGGGCTAGGGGCCGATATTTTGCAATTTTAAGTTCATTTTGTTAGACCAGGCGAACACTCAAGAGATCAAGGAGGGCTATGATGGCACAGTGGTCGAGACGAACGACAAAGTGGCAGACAAAGGAGAGGACACAGCCGAGAGGATGCCTGTTGCAGAGATGGATCAATGAAATCAGCTTCTGTGCAGGAGCTATCGATTAATTGTTGCGTCACAAAAATATGACGGAAGGATGATCAAAATCAAAAATCTTTATTTAGACTGGAGGAATCCGATGCGCTATGAAGCGCTTTTTCACAGATGTTCAATATGGACGGGTCAGCATGTTCCACCATCAAATATTTTCGCTTGGGAAGGCTTTCATCCAGTAGTGGATAGATAATGGTAGATGGCTGACTCGCCGGTTTATTTTCCAAATAATATTAAAGCCCTATTCAGCAATGATAACATAGCTACGGATAGCCTCTTATTAACAACTGGTTATTTCTCCAAATGGTACGTTGCATTTTATAACATCTGAGTTATTAATGCATTCATAACGCTTAAAAATTAAATTTTCCTATGTGTTAACCATTGATTTTATCGTTTTCAGAATTCTATCAAGTTTTCTTCTGTGATGTGAAGCAACACCCATGTTTAGTTCCTATGGCGCCGTCAAGCTACATGTCTGGTGCGCTATTTAGACAGCGCTTATTGTGACGTTTTCATGCCGAGAATCATCTGATAAATGGGCACACATGTCTCGCGTATAAGCTTTTGCATGCAAATAATGTGAGCACCAACAGGACTGTATAAACACATTCGCAGGCCTCACGTCTGGTCTGCACAACACCGCAGTGTGTCTCAGTTTCCATTGGCAGCTGAACAACCTGCCTATTACCGCCTCAATGGGACAAACCAAGATTACCGTACTCCGCCACAGGAATGTTTGTCCTCGTGCAAACTCGAGAGAGAGAGTGAGAGAAAAAGTCCACCTCGCCTACATTGTGTTGTTAATATTGTTTACCCTTTTATAACGTTTCAGATTTTATTTTGGAATGTTTTGCTTTTTTACGTTGTATTAACGTTATCTGTGTGTTTGATTGTACCTTTGAGCGATGCATGCCCTGTTTTATGTTGTTTGACATGTGTTAATTGACTATTTATTTGCACTTGTTAATACACTATGTCGACTAATGTACCATTTTAAAGTTGTACATAGTGCGTCTGTTATCTTACCCAAAACGTCCTGAAAAAGATATTGTGAAAAAGATGATTATTTTTAATAAGCCGTTATTATCTGTACAATTATGACTGACAGCTGTCTGACATGATAACTTTAAAAACCCAAACTTTATTCACAACACAATAAGCAGGTTTTGATTTAGCACGTAGGCTTTCGCGACCATTATCCATAATATAGTTTGTTTGGGTTAGATCGCGTAAATATAAATGTGTCGTTTAACCTGCCACCACCCGACACAGCCAATTAGTAAGGTTTGTCACGTAAACAAAGCATGTCAATTCGTTACTAGTGCAGCACACCGGATTTGCTCTCCAACACACCCGATGTGCTGTACTAATAACGAATTGGCATGTTGTGTTTACGTGACAAACCTTACTAATTTGTTGTGTCGGGTGGTGGCAGGTTTAACGACACATTTATATTTACGCAATCTAATACAAAAACAACTATATTATGCAGGTTTTAATTGTAGCACTCAATATGGTGAAATAGTTTGAAAGGTGCGCTTTTTATTCATGGTAATATCGTCATTCTTAATTTTACATAGATATTTTAAACGTTTGGCCAATCATTGAGTATTTTGTGTACGGGAGGAAACTAGAGTTTCGCACGCAACTGAATAACTTCTAAAACTTCCCACAGATCGGAGGTCATCAACCTTTTTTTTGTCACTGCGGTGCTCGGGAAACGTTTGCCTGTTGAACACGTGACGACTTCAGATGTTCATTTTCCAAACAAGGTCTGAAATAAGCATGTTTGAAGAAAAACAACTTCTGGCCAAACCACAGCTTTGGAAGGAGACCATTGTTTAGTGTCCAGGAACACTCACTCGCACATTAGCACAGCGGCACGTATGATATAAACAGTCCCATTTCTTATCGAGTTACCAAAAATGGTTACATTTATTCAGCTTGGATACACGACTGGCTAGTGTAAAATTATGGATCGAACTACCTTGTTGAACTTTCAACAATGCTCACATACCGACAGTCACAGATGGGGCCTGGTAGGTGTTGCCAAAGCGTGCAATATGAAGACAAACCAACTTGGTTCGACAGAGTTTGTGGCATTTGCTGATATGAGGTAACAAGAAACCCATCGATATATTTTTTTTTACAAAAACAAGAACTTGCAGTTGTTCTGGGACTGTCCCAAGATATGCGGTTTGCATTATATTTGTTTCTCCTTGTGTGTATTTTGTTTGGCTAAGATTGCAGTTTGAAGACGCATGGGCTTGTTTTGGAATGTGTCGAAAATATATTTATTCGTTGAGCGTCCAACTGTTTCAGTGTTTTTTTGCCCCGTATTTTGTTTTTTTCATTATTGTGTCTGTACGTTGCACCCATTTTTATATAAAAAAAAATGAAAATCACAAGAAAAATAAATGGTTTATATTGCTGAGCGATGTATTTACGTGAAAACGTATACATCCACACTTGGTTTCATTGTGACATTAATATGGTGATAACACATCCTTCAACTACATAAATTGGTTCCCACTGGACATTAGTGCTGTTAAGTTTAGAACATTACATGTTTTTTTTTACAGCGACAGCCACAAATGGTAACTCGTACACACATTCCACATTTAATAGGCACATGTGGATCGCACGTGATGCAAATAAAAGATGTACATTATTCAGTCTCCATAAATCATAACCGTTTTGCACTACCAGGATATTTTCTTTTATAGAAACAGCCCAAGTGCTGGCTGGACAGAGCTGCCGCGTGCATGAAAGCAAGGGTTGGGTTGGGGTGGAATCCTGAAGGGGTTGGGATGTGATGGGGGGGGGTGGGACAGCTCCCAGGGGAGTGGCAGCACCACCCAGGGGGGTCCGCCTCGCTTAGTGCCTCTCGGTGTCGAGTTACCGCGCCTCTGCCCTTTCACGATTGGCTGACGCCGACTTTGCGCGGGGGGAGGGAGGGGGTAAGGGGGTGGGGTTTAGCAAGCGGGCTCCAATGATTGGCGCAGCGGTGGGAGTGGGGGCGGGGTTTGGAAAGTGTGCTCGTGCGGGGTGGGGGGGGCGTGTCCCCGAGGCTTCATTGGAGAGTGGGGGGGTGCTGAAACGAATACTTTGGCTGAACTTGGCAGGAATTCGGTGCGGCTCAAGAGTAGGGAGGGACGGAGGGGCCGGGCCAGTGCACCACGGGCCCTGCCCACCCCTTCGCTAACGCCGCCAGAGCGCAGTGCGCGCGTGCCCGCCTGCCCGCCTGCCACCACTGACGAGAGAGAGAAGTGAGGGGGGTGGGTGCCACTTGCATCGCGTTGACCGAGAGGGTCGCTATACGTTTCGTAAAGACAAAGCCCCGTGTTGTTTTTTTTTGGGGCGGCTAAGCGAGGGAGTCCCCCCGGGGTAAGCGATGGGTGGTTAATGTCCGCGCCTGGAATTATGCCGGTACCTGGAGGGAAGGCGGCGAACAAAGGGGGCTGGACGAGACTTTACTCAAGAGGCTGCGGATTCATCTCGTGTGACATTGCTGATAGCTGCCGTTGCTACTCCTAAGCCAGCTGGGGTGGGATGAACATGCGGACAGATTTGACCGACTTTCAATAGGCGGAGAAGAAAAACGCCGTCTGAACTTACTCCTTGTTGGGCAAAGGATTTCTACGTGTCCACTTCTAGCCACGAAACGCTAGGCGATAACTTGAATGAAGACAAGGGGAAACCTGTTTCTGGCAGCCCCGGGGCTATGAAACTCGAGTGGCCACGGAGAGCTGACAGATGTGCCGGATTTTCGTCCCTGCGGATGTTAGCACCTGCCTAGAGACGAGCAGCTCCCCCCCGATAAGCCAGTCGTCTCTGCCTCTTGTCACATTGTTCACTTCTCCGAATTTTGCACTGGGAATTACAGAGCCATGCAGATGACACTCGTTTTGCTGTGGACACTTGCTGTGATCACTGGAGCTCAACCAAAAAAGGTATTGAACAATACGACTTGTATGATTTCTGTATAACTTTTTTTTGGTTTCCAGTTGCTTTAGTGGAAAGCCATTGTTTAACTTCGCATTGTTGTACACTTTTTTTCCTAAACAAAGCACTGTGGAAAAATACAACGTAAATTAATGGTCTAGGGGAGAAAAAATTGTAGAAAAAACTGCAGGACTTGAAGCTGCATGCCTTTTAAAGCGGATATAAATCTGTCAGGTTCAGGGCAAAAAATGTCGTGACTTCATAAAATCTTGTAAGATGATTTAGGATAACGGTAGCTTCAAAAAACCAGCAAGAAGTAAACTTATATTTTTTATTTTGCCAACTTTAAGCTGCCATTTGTATTTGTGATTTCAATCACTGCCTCGCAAACGTTGTCTGATTAACATATATACTGTGTAGATTTTTTTAAATGTAAATTAAGCACACTCTCAATATCTTCGCAGATGTATGGTATTGTTTTGAAGCTTCGTTCTCATGTTAAATGGTTAATGACAAGGGGCACATGTTGAACTGACAAATTTTTTATATTCCATTTTAGTCTGTGAGCCGATTTAAAAGCTGTGTTTTAAGATTTTTTTTGCTTTGTGATATGTGAAAGTGATATTTGTAATATTGTAGTTGTGGCCCACGTGTGTCGAGGTATTATATTAAGCACAGAAGTGACAAAATATCACAGGGGCGTCAGTATTTTGCCTCTAAGTTGCTAAGATTAACTCCTCTCCGGTTGCATCCAGCAATTTTCTTTTTACAAATAAGCAAAAGTCTTCTTTCAAGAAGGGTGAATAATTAAGTCGTATAATTGCAAATTGAATTTGAGATTGTTTGAATAATTCGATTTAAATTACTTTTAGTAATAAGTACAAAGAGTTGTAAAAGTTCAAAATGTACGTTGTCATCGAAGATTATAATCTGTTTCCCTCATCCATTAACTAGACAAATCGAGTGATTTACAGAAATGTTATTGATGAATGTACGTATGAAAATATATTTAATTTATTTAATTTTAATAGCTTCCGAAAAAGCTCAGTATGTTTGCTTAAGGCTCTGCAATTTCCCGTTGTCAAACAATCAAGGTTGTGATTGCCGCATCATTGAGCTGTTGATCTGAAGGGAGCAGCACATTTGACAGATAACTTAATCTGGGACTGCAGAGAGAGAAAGTAATGACACCACTTTTGTTGCTGCCAGTAGCTCTGGTTTATTGGTCACGTACCGAAACTATCGGCCACAAGGAACAGAGAGAGCAGCAATGATGATGAGCATCATCGTTGGTGAGTTTAGTGGAAATGGTGATATTGTTATTTGGAAATGTTCATCACGGTGTCAGTAAATTATTACAAGAAGATTGTCTTTTGCCATGAGCGCTGTTAATGTCTGATGATATTCTAACACTAAACTATAGTTACATTGCCAAGTAGATGTGCATAACTAAACCATAGGTGCCTTGCCAAGTAGAAAAAGATACAGCATTAGATATATTGGCTAGGGAGGAAAGCCCTAACATTAACGTTTATCATGGGACCTCCTTTGCCAGTACCAAAATATAACAATAGGGTTTTCCCCTTTTTTTCTGGCAACAAAACTGAAACCTTTTTACAAGGAATCATGTTACTGCATTAACCACAATGAATGCAAACAAAAAACAAACTCTGGTAATAGGTTTCAGTTTTGGTGCCAGAAAGGGGAAAAACTTATTCTTATATGTTGGTACTGGCAAAGGAGTTCCCATGATGTAGATGCTCACCCCGAGCTCTCATTACTCTGATAGTGCATTGTCTTTTGGCGCCCTCTGGTCTGACACCGTTTGAGACCAGGCTCAAAAGAAAGCTGTCTCCGGTCTGGACCAATCAGTTTCAAGGACAATGCATATATTATCAGAGTATATTATATTCTTGGTTCTTTCGGTAAAGTCACGTTGAAGGGAAACAATAAAATAATAAAATATTTATAAAACAATAAAATTCTCACGACGTTTCGACTGTAACACAAACAGTCATCATCAGGTGTGAAAACCAACGGCAAGAAAAAATTGTTTCTTGCCGTTGGTTGATGATGACTGTTTGTGTTACAGTCGAAACGTCGTGAGAATTTTATTGTTTTATATATATATTTTATTATTTTATTGTTACCCCTTCAACGTGACTTTACCGAAAGAACCAAGAATATGAATCACTGCAGTCACGAAAGCTTTAAATCAAAATTTATCAGAGTATGTTTCTTGTTTGCATTCTGACCACAAGCATTGCGGTTAATGCTGTGACATGATTCCTTGTAAAACGGTTTAAGTTGTGTTGCCAGAAAAAAGGGGAAAAACCTATTCTTATATACAGTTTATTGTGCACACAAGCCAAATAACCTGCAGGTATTTTCATTGCGCTAAAAATACGAAATGATTTTTTTAATGCACATTTTCTACGCATACAATTCTCATGTTATGCGTACAGGTACAGTATTAATTAAAACCTTTCATTTTATTTAGATAAGCCACAGTAGCAAAATAAGTAAGCAGGCAATATCTTCATCATATATATCTTCATCATATGTATGTATTCATCCACGTAAAATATAAATGTATATTATACACTTCCAGTCAACCACAAGGCCTTCTGGGAGGGCACTATTTCAGCAGCATTGGTTCAATTCAAGATAATTCTGAAATTACGCACTCCCATAATTTGTTTACGTGGAGGGACAGATATATATGAAGTAGATAAATTGCTCAATTTATTTTTTACCACTCTGTATAGTCGCCCGCACTGCTCAGAAGCAGAGAACGTAATGTGCGACAATCTATTTGGTGAGAAGTGTTGCGTGAATAGTGCAATGATAGATGGAGAAGCTTGTTGTTTTCACTGCAGGAATGTTCACTGGGAAGCCTGCAGGTGTCAAGTCAAATCGGACACCGCTGACCCGTGCTATCATCACCTGCGCAGCCATGCTTTGCGCAATCATCATTAGAGTTGACTTAAAGCTTTCGTGACTGCAGGAATTCATACTCTTTGGGTCTTTCGGTATCTACGTGACTTTACCTAAAGACCCAAAGAGCATCATTTGAGTGTTCCGTGCACTATGTCACATTGTCCCCCCCAGAATGGCAAACGTACTAAGTTGTCAAACAAAAAAGTCACTGAGTTTATCTTTCTGTTACATGCCTCGGCAACATATATTTGTTATATGTTAACTTAATCCGATAATGTGATGCGAGTTAACACACTCTGTATTTACACAAAATACTACGTAAGCTTGTTGTGACCAGAGAAGAAGTGTGGTTATGAAATATTTGAAAGACAGCTTCACTGAACTGTGTACAACTATTAGGCAATTCAATACAAATCAGGTTTTGTTGAGACAAAACGTAATTCAATACAGCAATGGGACTCGACACGATTGCCTACTCTACAGCAATTGTTGTTGAGGTCTCATGATCACAAACGATCATGTGATATGCCCCCTACTGGGCAAGGTGCATTGATTTAATTGTGCCATGTCTGTAATTCATCGGGAGGGGCCTGGACTCGAGATGAAGTTTCAAAACAATGGCATTCTGCAACAGGAGACAGCGTTAAAGATAGGCCACCCAGGCCAAGGTTAGGGGGCCTTTGCCATTAATTCATTCTGTTTGTATCCCTCCTGAATATGCTTTGCAAATGCTCCGAATAACCTGAATATATCTAAACATACGTTATCTCACAACACCTGTAGCCCATGCAATATCCTCACTGCTCATGAGACCAAGATCATATTACTCTTGCCAGACATCTCAAGCTCTGATTTTCATTTCACCGCGGGCTTTCGATGAGGGCGCAGATCTCTAGCCATTAGGTAACACCATCGGAATCTTGTTTTAAGTGCTTCTAGGCTAAGTCTCAAATATCCATTCTTTCTGGGATGCTCTCATTACAGTGCTATATAAATGTCCTGTGAGATGTGAGTGCTTGGCTGGATGCTGCCATGGTATAATAATTAACACACTGAACTTGCGATCCAGAGGCCACCGGTTTGATCCCTTGGCACGACATTTGAAACAAACCTGCCTCTGTCCACCCAGAGATATAATGGCTACATCACAGTGTGTGTCCATCGGCAGATTGGTGGGATTAAGTGTGGGTACTCCCACCTCTTCCGTGGCCTCTGGCGTGGAAGAGTGGGTAACAATGTTCTCAAGAGGAGCTAGAGGGTATGTTGGAGCTATCGAGTAGAGGCCCTTCCACCAGCATTGGTGTGAGCAAGAAAATGCAGGGTTGCACCTTTATCTTTTATACATATGTGCTTAGTAAAACGTAATAAAATCTCTCAAACAAAAAAATGAATAAAAACAATCACGAAGGTTAAAGTGAAAAGCCTGCAGAATGTTTAGCATTCGGTTTCATTCAGTGTCTGCCTGCATGAGTTATGTCTCTTCAGTGAGACCTGAGGGCACTCAATGTTCAAATTATGGTGCAAATATTATGAGAAGAAACCAAGAACAACCCTTATATTTTTTGACTGTTAATCACACTCCACTGAGCTTAGTTGTTGCAGGCAGTCAGTCCTGTACCCCAGCTTGTGGTGCTGTGTTTCGTATTGGAAACTAGCATGCCAAAATAAATCTGATAAGCATGGTAAATACCATACTGGATGGTAAATTCTGGCCCATTTATTATTTGCAACTGTGACTAAATCACCTGGTATTGCGTCAGATTTCAGAAGCTGAGCAGTTTTGAACATGTATAGTGCTTGGATCGGTGACCATCAACAAGTTGGTAAAGGCTGTGGGGCTGTGTGGCTGGCAGCAATAGGGCATTGCGGCAAAATACAATGTCATGCTGCACTTATACTCTCCGGTATCTGCGCTCCTGTCTTTGATCACTCTACATTGGCCAGCATGGTGAAGTACGGTCAAATAAGCCCCAACGAATTGCACTGCTTGGGGAAGTGCTCATCCGGCAGTGGAGTAACAAAGAGGCTGTACACAGTGGTGACTATTCTAGAAATGTGAACTTTATATGACCTGATGTACATAGTGACCCCATGTTGGGTGAATAGAGCTCAGTCATTAATACTTCGGTTGATGTCTGAATGCAGGGGTCAAATGTCATCAGATTTGCCGATTTCTCAGTTAAGAATCCTGGCAATTGCGTCACACTGCATCTGGCTTATTCATTCTGATGAGGAGTGTGAAAAGTTTAAGTGGAGTCATTTACATTTGTCATCATTTGACTTGGGGAAAACAATTAGCGTCGTATTAATATTACAAATCATAACCGAGCTATGCATTTACATTACACTGTTGAATACGTATGGTGCAAACCAAGTTCAAGATACATAATTTGTTAAATATAACCATATTTTTATAGAGCGTATGGATCTTGATCGTTCAAGGAGTTGAAGTTGGGAGTTGCTTGACCATCCATCACCATGTTGGTCAGTGGAGGTTTGTGAAGGGGGCCCCAGACCAAGTAGCAGATCTCACTCGCCACGAATGTTCGATGTGGCCACGATTCATCATTCAGTTTGCGGCGTTCGTCGTGCAGTGAGCAAACCTCGACATTTAAATAATAACAGGATCTGTTATTATTAATCCCACGTGGAGTGTGACACGATTCGCAACCAATCTTGCCCGGACTTTGTTCATGTCCAAATGTTATACGTGCGAGATTATTTTTTTTTTAAACACATGGACGCAATAAATCGCGCAAACGCATAACCGAAACTCAATAGGTCACAGATATATTTACGTAAGTCGAGGGTAACCAAATAAGAAGGAGGAATCATCTAAAGCCTAACAACACGCAAATAGTGCTTTTATGTTGTACAGTGCAGTTGCGAGAGCTGTCCCCAGGTACTTTCCAAAGAGTAGGACACAAAAATGCCGGTGGCTCACACGCTACGCTATATTGCTCTGAATGGTGCCTGCATTCCAGGGGTGGCTCGCAAGCCATCTGGGGGAGGGGGAGCTCTTGCCGTACAGCAGATATACAACAGCCGTCGTCTCAGCTGGAAAGCGTGTGCTTTACATTAAAGAGCCGTGACAACAATTAAGCCGGCTTGTCCCCCCTCCCTGTTATTAATTGCCATTCGATATACGCCTACACGACGACTGATCATTGAGAATGCAGACAACTGATCGACGGGTGAAAGTTCCCCTTGTGATGTGAACATAGCTGCCAACGTCTTTTTTAAGTGAGTGTTTTCCTGTAAATGACGCGCTCGAAAAGAAAGTGAAAAGTGGACATTCTTTATATGCTACATGCGGCACAAGGCTTTTGTTGAGAACTTGGACCGACCAACAATTTCGTCGTCCCGACGGTTCTGTTCCTTCACCTGAAGAAGGCCACTTGTGTTGTGGCGGAAACGTCGTGATTTTTGTTGTTTTATTTTTTACCTACGTGACTTTACCGAATAGAACCAAAGAGTAATTTCGACACGCTTGATAAAGCATACATCTAGACATGGGATTTGAGACGAATTTCCAGGGCATCTGGCAGCGGTGTATTGATCACGGCTATAATCATATTGAATCAGAAATCCATTTTGCTGCTAAAAATATACCTTGAGTGTCTCTCGAACGAACAGCTTTGTATTTGCAAATGGTAAGCTTACTTGATATTGTAATTCTAATTTAAGGTTTACTGAGATCCTCCTAACCATGTGTTCTTATGGCTCACAAGCAGGTCTATCTACCATCTATATATTCAAGGACGAATGCCTTTTCATTGTACTATATGTTTAACCCTTATTATTGTATCTATCAACCAACTTCCACACCATGGAGGTCATGCACTAACAATACTGCATGGCAGCTTACCGTACAGTGCCGCACTCTGTGGGAATTCCTCTAACCTGCAGTGAGAGTTCCAAACCCACACTCTGCACCTGAGCAGTGCATGTCTGTACTGGCATCTGTATTATTCAGTGGCGTCCATGCAGCCATTCAATATCTCGGGGTACAAGGTGGGGGGGTCACCTAGGTATTTGGGTGCTAAGACTCAGCGTGCAGTTTGGAATATTCTGAATCCAGCGTCCACTCGGACTGTGGACGATGTGAGTAATGTAAACGCACTATTTGTGGAATACATGTTTACTGGGTCATGAATGACAGTTAAACAGCACCCATTGAATATGTTGTCCTTCCCCGCACCTCCGCTTAACGCGGTCAGCTATGTACAGTGCGAAAGACGTTCAACATACATACTGTGTGATAAAGCCAGTTGCTGAAAATATGGTACATATATTTTTTTAGGTTTTTTTCCGTATCAGTACTTTTGACAATCCTTAATTGATGGGAAGGTCTGTGGTGTTAGATTTTTTTGTGTGTCCATGATATTAATCACATTCCTCAGTGGTCAGTCAATAGACACTTCCCAGAATTGTTAATACATGGCTATTAGAGTGGAAAAAAACCCACGTGTGAGTGATAGTTTGTTGTGACGGATCGTGTCCTAGCACATTGTTTAGTACTATTAGGCACAGTGGGAAAGGAGGCCCCAGAATGGGGTTCGTGTATTCATCTGGGATCAATCCACCTGTGTAACTTGTTTGCCCACTTCCCTCCCCTCCCCACTTCGCTCCACCCGACTTGGTTGACCACCCAACAACTCCCCTCCACCGGGGCTCTGCTTTCCCGCAGTTTCCCTCCACACCTGCCACCCACCCACCCACCGTGACCACCGTGACCACGTCTCTCCCCCCTCTCGTAGGCTGGCGATGGCCCGGTGCTGCTCACCAACGCTCTCGTCCACGTGCCGGAAGGCGGCATGTTTCAGATCACCAACATGCAGCTGCGGGCCGCCTCGGGTGACGCCAGCGACTCGGAAATCCTCTTCATGCTCACCCCGGAGCATGGCAACCCTCCCTTCGGTAGCAGCTTCTTCACAGAGCGCGGACTGCTACTTTAACCGCTGCGCACGACCAACCAGTACACCCAGAGCATGATTAAAGAGAGCCGACGTTATTGCTAAACTAAAAACGAAGCTGCTTTATATTTTATTAAGTAAGGCTCACTGAGCTTTAAGGCTCTTTTTCATGAGCGACCTGGCCACAAATGATAGCGCAATGAACAGATGACAAACCAATCCCGCACCTTCCATTAGCACGGTTGACTATGTACGGTGCTAAAGAAGTTCAACATACATACAACGGAGTGGCTTACCATGTGGACATTTATAGCAGCCAAATAGCATGTTTCTAAATGTGGAGGGATAAACCAGAGGACCTGGAGAAAAATGCACGCGACGCGAGGAGAACATGCAAACTCCAAATATACAGGCGGTCACGGTCGGGATTGAACCCACGACCTCCTGCGTACCAGGATAAGTAGTTGACATCTCGCCACCGTTGGGAGATGTTACTGCTACTTTTACGTAGGTCTTCGCGGTTGTGCTGTGTAAGGCTGCGGTGTGTTTCATGGGTCGTACGGTACTACATGTTGTCTGGCAGAATGTCCGATGTTTCGGCTCGCATCCAGGGAGCTTGTACAGGAACTGAATTGAGCAGGTCCTTTCTCCCTCGGTACCACTATTTACTCGAGTTCCTAAGAAGCTTCCTGGACATGGAGCAAAATGCTGGACATCATGGCGCACAACGCACAGTACAGCGACAAAAAAACATTTTGAAGAGAGCTGCTATGAATTTCAACTGCTGCAGTGTTGAGGCACATCATGCCAGCACAGCTGGGCATTCATTCAACAAATCAGGCACGCATTCCTCGTTGTAAAATGTACTACACTGTACTGCACTTCTATTGTGAAAAACCCTCCTTTGTCAACTGGGTTAACTATTGTTACATATCAAGTCAATAACAAAATAACAATGTTTTAAATTGCGTAATTTAAATATACCATTCTAGTAACTGTTTTCCTAGGTAAATGTAAAACGGTTTGCACGATGGACAGGTTTCTCCTGTCATAGCATGAATAAGAATGCACGGTCCTCTGAGCCGTTGGCTAACCTTGTTAGGTTTCGTGGTGTTTACATTCCCACACCCAGGCGTCACTTACAAACTGCTTTGTCAAATTTATTCTATTTTATTTGTACATGTTCGCTGAGGTGTATTACCCTTTATTATTAAGCTGTGTGCCCATGTATGTATGTATGTTGAACTTCTTTCGCACCATACATAGTCCACCGTGTTAATCAGAGGTGCAGGAAGAATCCCTTTTGTATTTTTTATGGAAACATCTTGCTGTGGTTATGTTTTCAGCACAGAGCAGGGAAGCAAAAGCTACTTTTGTCCTCTACCATGCTCCAACATTTGTGTGCTCCCCACCTCTACCAACCTGTATTGACCGGTGTGGTGAAGTATGGTCAAATCACCCACATGACCCTCATGGCACAGGGAGGCCCTCATTCAGCAGTGGATTGACAAAAGGGCTGCAAATATGTTTCGTTATATAAATAAATATATACTATATAAATATATAATACATACCTAGCATTTAAGATTTTAGGCACAACAGGGGGTTATGAACTCCCCTGTAATTCATAACACATTTTTCGGAAATTTTCATTTGTGAAAGGATTTCAAAACACGCCTACGCGGGAAATTAGATAGGATTTTTGGCACAGTTTTAAGAGGTTGAAAATCATGCACGTACACTTACCAAATTACATTCAATTGGATTTTTAAAGGGCTTTAATTGAAACCACATTTGTAGGCGATGCCCGGGTGTACGAAGCAGTGGTTCGTGCCATTCCAACAAACAAGCCTATTTTGCATGCAGTGCTCTGCGATTTAAATTCTGGCCCGTTCTCAACAAAGGGGAGGAAAAGTGCTGATCATGAGCTAAATGACAAACTTTTAACAAGTAAAATGAACGAAAATTTTATGTTTAAAAAAAGCCTTACGAGAGGATTCTTCGTGTGAACTAAAAAAAACCAGGGAAGGAATCGAGTGCTAAAGTGCAGCGGTGTGTCTTTCAAAAGCAAACATAGACCTATGCGGGATGGAAGTTTCATGCAGGAGCATATAGAAATGTCAACTTGGAGATGGTATGGAGTTTAACCATCATCAATAATAACATTCTAAACTTAATATGCTGAGTGGGAGCCAATGGAGGATTTTATTTAAAAAAAGGTGAAGTATGTTTATTTTATTTTATTGTCTTTGGGAGGGGCCTTTGGCACCATCTTGCCACCTTGTCCAGGTGCCCCGGAAGGAGACGTATACACGGGGGTTAATCCGTTTCGTGCTTGCGGTTATGGAGATAAAGCAAAATGACGGAGGAACAAACATTTTTCAGTACACCATGAGCAATGTTATAATCATGTACGGTGAAGAAGCCATCAATCAATAGTTGTCTCCAGTGAGCAGCTAAAATCAACCAATCACATCATTAAACATTTTGATCTGCTGTCCCGGAAGGGTCATGCCCTCTAAAAAAATCACACCTGCATTTGTTCCCCTGGCTTTCGGTGTGTTGCACTTCAACGTTCTCTTAAGTGTTCGCGTTAGGGCTCGGCTTAGTGTTATGGCTAGTGTTAGTGTTATCGTTAGGGCTATCGCTAGGGTGAGTGTTGGTTATAAGTGGAAGGACATAACATTTTGCAGTGAATCAGTTTCTGTGCGATCACAATGCTCACACCAATAAACTCTTGAGGGGGCCAGTGTTCAGCAGAATATTGAACACTGAATCGCGTTTCCGAATGCCACTTGGAAGCGAGAGCGACGTGCTCGGCTGCGCGCACGTTGGCAACCGTGGCCCCGTCCCCTGCAACCCCTCTCTTTGGTGGGCGCAGGCGACGTGGTGCTGCTGGTGCCGATGCCGGCGGACGGCCCGTCGGACGGTTGGGAGCTGCTTCCCGATGGACGCGCGGCCACCCCCACTACGTCCTTCACGCAGCAGGACATCAACGAGGGCATCGTTTGGTACCGCAGCGCGGCCGGAACGCTCTCCCCACGGGACGCCTTCACTTTCACGGTTGGTCCCTCGCTCGCCCTCCCATCGCACCCGTGCCGTTAAAGACCGGCGTATTGTCTGAGGGCCTGGTCGCCAGTAGCCCTCTGCATCTGAGTGACGCTCTTTGGCGCACTTCATCTAATCGGGTTCCGCCGGAAGGTTTTTGGAAGACCATGTCCGAGGTACGGAAACCAGGGACATATTGCGGGAATAAGAAGGGAGAACTATGGGTATTTGTCAAAAGCTAGGACTGTTAATGTTTAGTGTTCTGGGAAGTCTTACAGATTTCCCAGCACAGCTACATAAAAAAAGGACAATGATCCTGGGAAACCCAGGACAGGAGGTAAAAAATTGGACACGCATCAGGCCCAAAATATACTTTTATACTTGAAGATACAACTACTGTACAGTGTATGTTAATGTATACATTATAATAAATGTTGTATAACATAAAAAAACAATGAATTACATAGACAATGGTGTACAGAGCAAATGACTTGCCACATTTATCATTAACACTGCTGACAATATGGGTATTGCTCTTTCTCCAAAGCAGCTGAAGTGCCAATGCCAGGAAAGTCTGCATGTTAGATATATTCATCTGTCATAAGGCAGCGCTAATGCCGAATGTGGTCAGCCTTTTGATTTGCACTTGTAATAACGCATGTCCTGTGTACCGGGAGACCAAAATCATCATTAGGGCACATGGCAAATGTTGTGGCGTTCGGGTGGTATCAAAACATTTACGGAAACCCGACACCGACAGCGAGATGGTTATACCCTGGCAGGTGACGGACGGAGCCAAGCCTCCCCACGAGCTGGCGGGCCAAGTTTTCCACGTTGGCATCATCCCTCAGCACGACTCGCCCCCGCAGCTCTCTCCCGGCGTGCCCTCCCCTCTACGCATGCTGGTGAGGCGGGGAAGCCAGCGGGAGACCACATTGGACCCGTCGCGCCACACTCTATCCTGTTGTTCCTCCCCAATTGCTGTGACATTTTTACTCAGCTGTTGACATCCACGTTTCACTCCGCCGGTGATTTTATTTTGCCTCAAATGATAATTGTGGTTATGATATTGTCGTCGTTGCTGGCGTGTAACTTCCCACTGCAGGCCAAAGGCCCCTTTCCTTTTCTTAGTTGTTCTTGTCCAGTCGTGGCCTCTGAACTCTCTGATGCCTTCTCTGATTTCATCTCTCGTCATCTCACAATCTCTTACCCTGACTTTCTCTGCTTGTTTTGCCTTCTCTCAGTCTACATTTTGTAGTTAATTGTGTCTCTCATCTCTCGTGCGCCGACCAACTTTAGTCATTTAATGTAAAAATATCTTCATTGGAGACATGCCATTTAAGGTTTTTATACGTATTATTTATCTTCATTGGAGACATGCCATTTAAGGTTTTTATACGTATTATTTTATACATTAAAACTGCTGTTGTAACACCCTGTAAATATTCGCTCGTTAAAATGGTTTGTTTGCTTCCTCCCTTAGGCAGCAAAAGACCAAATCACTGTCATTCAGTCGAACTACCTCTCCTTTGTGGATAACTCTGGCAGTGAATACCTGCTGTACAACGTAACCCAGCTCATCCCACCTGAGTATGGTAAGCCTCAAGTGCAGGGGACACTAAGCTGGCAGTATTTACCTTGAAGCTCCTGATGTGCCAGGTGTGTCATCACGATGTAAACTGCATACCTTGGTTTTTGAAAAGCACGACTTTTGCACGTACATCTGCAGCCCTTTTGTCAATAGACTGCTTGGTGAGGGCCTCCCCACGTCACGTGGGTCGAGGTGGTTATTTGACTATACATCACTATGCTGGTCAGTGTGGGTTAATGAGGTATGTATGTTCAACTTCTTTTGCACCGTACGTAGCCAACCGTGCTAATCGGAGGTGCGGGGACGGACAACAAACTAAACACACAAATCAGATCTAAAGAAATTAGTTTTCAATCTGCCTACGTGAAGTGTGGAGCATATACGTGGGGGCGTACAAGTACAGCACAACAATGGATTTATCTCCACTACTTTCTATTGACCACCACGCAGCACATGCCCACAGCCACCTGTGATAACCTGGTGTGCATGGTGATCTAATGAGATCAGAGATCTGATGATATCGGCATAACTTGGTGATTTCGTCCAATGAGTCATCTACATTAAGGAATAATATAACCTTGAATTACACGCTGATATATATGCATATATAAAGATGGGTACTAAATGTTAGGGAAACGATTTCACAAATACACAACAGTTTTACTCATGTGCTGAACTGATCTCATGATTACTTGCCATGTCTTCTTAAATGCATTTGAAATGACATTCATGCTCAAAATGCTACTGTGATACCTGCGATGGTAGCATAATGATGGTTTAGAAGGAGACTACACTACTTTGCCTTAGGCTTGCAGCTATCTTAGGATTTACTGAATATTTCTTCGGTTCGCAAGGTCACCCTCAAGAATTCGTAAAGAACAAAATGAGAACTCTAGGAAGAGATGTAATTATGATAAGAAGAAGGGTATTTTTTGTTTGTTATACTTTCTTGTCAGACATGCCACATTTTACATTTTTCTATTTATTTCATAGCAGTGTCACGCCCTGTGAATGTTGTATTCTAGTAAAAGCACTGCATAGAGACACACGCAAACTTACATTATTCACATCGCCAGCTAAGTTTTTAATGAGACATTTTACCCTTTAAAAGGGAAAAAAGTACAGCCATGAAAATTCCTTTCTCAAGCAACTGCTGGCAGAAGGGCCTCCACTAGAGAGAGTTCTAGACAGTCCCTCTGGACCGTATTTTGGCCTAACCTTACACGCCGGCCTCATATCTTGGAAGAGGAAGGTGTACCCACAGTTGACCCCACTACACAAGACTTGCCAATTGACTAATTATGGTGTACCCATTTACACAGAGACTGGGAAATATTTAATAAATATTCCCATTGTTTCCACTCCAACACCGGGAGATCTCACTGGTAACGTCTGCATTCCAAGTCTAGTGTGTCTAACATTACACTGCGGTACCTTCCTTTTACCCTTATAATAATAATGCATTTTTAGATGTTATTTCCATAAGGGCATATCTGCGAAGCAAAGCGAGCGGGCGGTGTGAAATGCTGCGAGTTAATCCTGGCGGTGTGGGCACGCAGGGGCGCTGGAACATGCAGACAGGCCGGGCCACTCCGTCACCCTCTTCACGCAGGCCGACGTCGACATGGGAAAGATTGTGTACCGTCCTGGGAATGCACGGACCGTCCCAGGGCCCGCCACAGCCTTCCGCTTCACCGGTGAGCCAAGCAGGGCCTTTCTGAGATGCCATCAGCATTTTGCTTCAACAGTTATCAAGTGGCAGCGTTGCATTTTATACATTGCTTGGGTTGCAACAAATGTAGAATTATTATAGTGTCATGATACTCTGCGTGTTTGGTTGTGTCTGTGCTGTGCCCCATTTTCTGTGCAACAGTGTCTGACGGTGCAAACACCTCCCCGGAAACTGAGTTCACCTTACAGCTCTACACTCCCAGCAAGCTACCGCCAGTGTTCCAGCAGGCCAGCCCCGCCATCCACCTCACACAGGGCGGCACAGCACCTATTGGTAAGCGCCGTAAGTCTAAATGTCGCCTATTGGTGAGGATTTGTATGAGCACTTGGTCCGTATCGCGTTGACGAATGGGGCTCCATGAACTAATGTTTTGCACTCGATGACAATAATGTGATAATGCAAATTATTTTACCCAGGAAAGCCTCACTGAATCTCCAAGATGCTATTTCAGAGGGGGTCCTAAATTGGAAAGCTTGGCCAAAACTATTAAGACGTGTTTGGTATGTGGGAGGGAACCGGAGTACCCAGATAAAACCCATGCATATTATGAGGGTCGTACTTAGTCATCTTGCCTTATCTTGGCCTCCTTGCACTCCCACTTCTACAACAGCTGGGAAAGCCCTGGTGGTCACCCATCCAGGTCCTAACTGAGCTCATACCTGCTGCATTTCAGAGATCTGACATTGGTGTACAACTGGATGATACGATGATACAGTGAGGGAAAAAAAGTATTTGATCCCCTGCTGATTTTGTACGTTTGCCCACTGACAAAGAAATGATCAGTCTATAATTTTAATGGTAGGTTTATTTTAACAGTGAGAGACAGAATAACAACAAGAAAATCCAGAAAAACGCATGTCAAAAGTGTTATAACTTGATTTGCATTTTAATGAGGGGAATAAGTATTTGACCCCCTCTCAATCAGAAAGATTTCTGGCTCCCAGGTGTCTTTTATACAGGTAACGAGCTGAGATTAGGAGCACACTCTTAAAGGGAGTGCTCCTAATCTCAGCTTGTTACCTGTATAAGACACTTGTCCACAGAAGCAATCAGTCAATCAGGTACCAAACTCTCCACCATGGCCAAGACCAAAGAGCTCTCCAAGGATGTCAGGGATGAGATTGTAGACCTACACAAGGCTGGAATGGGCTACAAGACCATTGCCAAGCAGCTTGGTGAGAAGGTGGCAACAGTTGGTGCGATTATTCGCAAATGGAAGAAACACAAAATAACTGTCAATCTCCCTCGGCCTGGGGCTCCATGCAAGATCTCACTTCGTGGAGTTGCAATGATCATGAGAACTGTGAGAAATCAGCCCAGAACTACACGGGAGGATCTTGTCAATGATCTCAAGGCAGCTGGGACCATAGTCACCAAGAAAACAATTGGTAACACACTATGCCGTGAAGGACTGAAATCCTGAAGCGCCCGCAAGGTCCCCCTGCTCAAGAAAACACATATACATGCTTGTCTGAAATTTGCCAATGAACATCTGAATGATTCAGAGGACAACTGGGTGAAAGTGTTGTGGTCAGATGAGACCAAAATGGAGCTCTTTGGCATCAACTAAACTCGCCGTGTTTGGAGGAGGAGGAATGATGCCTATGACCCCAAGAACACCATCCCCACCGTCAAACATGGAGGTGGAAACATTATGCTTTGGGGGTGTTTTTTCTGCTAAGGGGACAGGATAACTTCACCGCATCAAAGGGACGATGGACGGGGCCATGTACCGTCAAATCTTGGGTGAGAACCTCCTTCCCTCAGCCAGGGCATTGAAAATGGGTCGTGGATGGGTATTCCAGCATGACAATGACCCAAAACACACGGCCAAGGCAACAAAGGAGTGGCTCAAGAAGAAGCACATTAAGGTCCTGGAGTGGCCTAGCCAGTCTCCAGACCTTAATCTCATAGAAAATCTGTGGAGGGAGCTGAAGGTTCGAGTTGCCAAACGTCAGCCTCGAAACCTTAATGACTTGGAGAAGATCTGCAAAGAGGAGTGGGCCAAAATCCCTCCTGAGATGTGTGCAAACCTGGTGGCCAACTACAAGAAACGTCTGACCTCTGTGATTGCCAACAAGGGTTTTGCCACCAAGTACTAAGTCATGCAAATCAATTTATAATATTTTTGTCATGCGTTTTTCCGGATTTTGTTTGTTGTTATTCTATCTCTCACTGTTCAAATAAACCTACCATTAAAATTATAGACTGATCATTTCTTTGTCAGTGGGCAAACGTACAAAATCAGCAGGGGATCAAATACTTTTTTCCCTCACTATATATGTGTGATGTAAATGGATTTCAATGTAAGCTCTGATAAAAGGGGTACAGGGAATATACTGTTGATAATAATAGTGACCATGAATCTAACGCCTATTTCACAGCAGAGAGCACATTTGATTGAAATTCAATAAAACAAAAATTAGGTGGCTGGGTTTGGCTTAGAGATATCTCAAGAGGTTGTGTTCATATTTCCGTGTGTTGAGCGATTTCACGCGAGAACAAGGATTTAAAGTTGTGACACTTAAAAACGATTCAGAATCCCCTTGTCAATCCACTGCTGGATGCTTGACCATACCTCCTCACACTGGTCAATGTGGGCTATTAAAGGATGAGGTATGCAGGACTGGTTCAGATATCACTCCCCACAGATGCTTTCCATGGCTGCGAATTGAACTCAGGCCATCCAACCGTGCTAATCGGTGGTGCGGGGGATGAATAACAAACTAAACACAAAAAGCGTTTCTAAAGGAATGAGTTTTCAATCTAGATTTAAAAATGCATAGCTTCATTAGCTTCCTAATAAAGGAAGAAGTAGCTTTTCAGACGGCCGTAGAAAATGCGCTCACCGCTGCACCACCAGCCTGAACGACTACAGTGAGTGACTGCTGTGTTGCAGTGTTAAAGCAACACCTCCAGTGTGAAAGTGACAATCGCACATTACATTGGTGCCTATATGTTCTTCTTGTGCTGTGCTGCCAATAACCAGTTCCCCTCTTACGGAACATTCCCTCGGCTAATATGACATATACATGGCATCTTTGTCTTTATGTTTATGCTAGGCCTGGAGCAGCTGTCTGCAGAGGATGCTGACTCAAGTCCGGAGGAGCTTCTCTTCGCCGTTCTCGAGGCGCCGAGCCACGGACTTCTGACTAAATACACAGCTGGCAGGCATCTAACCCTGGCTTCAGGCAAGCGCTCGGGGCAGTCCATACATGGCCGCGTGCCCCACAGTTATTCGACATAGCGGCTTGAAAAGGGACCCCTGTATTTATGGAGCCGCGTTGTAGTTCTGTTGATAAATTTGCCTATATTTGAACTACGTAAGAGCCCATAGATGTAGTTTCCTTTATGAGGGAGGTCTGAGGTAAATCACAATATGGAAAACACTTTCTCCACAAAAAAAACAACAAATTGTGAAAATCAAGAGCAGAAAGCAGTTCTATCTGTGTATGTTCGTATTATATAAATAGTTAGCACATGTACTGCGTTTTTGTCCATCTACTGCTGGATGAGGGCGACCCAAAGCCGTGATGAGATGAATTGACCATACTTCACCACTCTGGCCATTGCGGGTTGATGAAGGCCGGAAGCGCGGATGTGGGAGTATAGCACAGTAAATGGATTTTTTGCTGAACTTCACCACCTTGCCAACCACACAGGCTTCACGACGCAGGCCATACAGCAACCCGTTTTGTATATATATGGTGTAGCTGGGTAAATATTCGAAAGTAACTATCGTTTTGTTTGTTTTGTTTCTCCAGGCGACGTATTTACCCACGACGACCTCGCGAAGAGCGCCCTGCACTACGTGCACGACGGGACCGGCGCGAGCGGCGACGACGCCGCCTCGTTCGGCGTGTCCGACGGCGTCGCCACGGCGACCGTCGCGGTGGCTGTGATCATCGCGCCAACCGACGGCCAAGGACCCCGGCAGGCCCCCGGAACGCAGCTGTCCATCACGCTGCCCGAAAAAGGCACCGCGACCATCACGGCGTCGGAGCTGGCTTACTCCGTACGTCGCGGCTTTAAATGTCGTACTCTTTGGAAGCTCGAGAGGCGCGCGCTTGAACGCAGATTCCCAACGTTACCTGACGCAATGTTCAATTTTTAAACACAGGCGGGCGACTCTCCAGCAGGCCAGGTGCGCTTCATGCTCACGTCGGTACCCATGTACGGGCTGCTGGTGATCAGCGGGGCCCCCGGTGTGGAGCACGAGCTCTCGGACTTCTCCATCTTCTCCATGGAAGACATCAACGGCAACAGAATCAAGCAAGTTGCCAACAGCCAGTTTGGAAAATAAGTCATATGCCATTATGTGGCTGTGCCGTTTATAAGGAAATATAGGCGCACGAAAGGTGTTCCCGATTTTCGGGATATATCTGGTACAAATCTACAGAAGCGGCTTAGAAAACTGAATTTTTTCTGACTCTCCAAAGAATATTTGTTTTGAATTTATCTGACAATATCACGTGGAAGGAAGTGACGTCGCTTTTCTGGCGTCACGTCTGTGTGTTTCCTGCCAATATTGGTGTCACGAGTAGCTTCTGTTTTCACAAAAGTTTCGTCTTAGCCCGTTTTTTTGTTATCTAGTAATGTTAATTGAACTATATAATGTAAATTCATTTGAAAATCTAAATAAAAATCTAACATTTTCCTAAATAATCGAAAATTGTAGTATGTGTAATTTGACACTCATCCATAATATGCACCATATATACATATGTGTAATATATAGTTCTCGCAATACGATTTGCAAATATGCATCTACCATCACCATCACACAGCAAATATATGCCTGTGGGTTGTTTCTCCAGCTTGGTATAACAACAGTAGAAAAGTAGATGACATAAAATAACTCTGGAATTCTAAATCTATAATTGACGTACTTATTCTGTCGTATAGAAAGAGCAACATTTGAAGCCACTACTCATGCAGTATTTGAACAAATAAATACGCTTACATTGACACTCACATGCTTGGTTCTACATTGTTCTTACGTGTCTTCGTGTTTTTCATTAATTCCAGGTACAAGACCGACTTTGACCTGGGAGGGGATCCCATCACAGACCTGTTTTACTTCTCAGTGACAGACGGGCAGGGGAATCGGCTTGAGAATCAGATCTTCACACTCACCATCACCCCTGGAGGAAACCAGCCGCCCAGCTTGACACTCACACCCTCGCTCAAGGTACACGAAACCATATCCCCGCCCTGCCTCGGCTGTTCCATCATCAGCACTGTTTTCGTCTTGTTTACAGGTTTGCCCATGTTCCACAGGGGATTACTTTTACGTTAGGAATTAAGCAAGCAAGCGCCATTTAAATGATAGCATTCATAGTAACCTGGAAGACTTGCGTAAAATACGTTCGGTGATTTTTTTTCTTCTTCCATTATCGTGATAATTTACACCGCTTGTCAATCCACTGCTGGGTCAAGGCCACCCCACGTCGTGTTGGTGAGTGCGAGTTGGTGACCGGTTCAAATGTGACACACCATTGGAGTTACCCACGGCTGGGAACAGTGCAGTGTGCTGCAGTGCTTTAAATGACAAAGTAAGGTCCAATGTCACTTGATGATGTTTTATACACCTGTAGTGACTGACTCGGAGACACTAAGAGTTGGAGGCACTCTGTTTATTAACATGGCCTTACGAGTTAACACTTCCAATAATCCGTCTATAGCTGACAACGGTTCCCAGTCAGGACAGTTGGTGGACTGCCTGACTGGCGATGCCGAGGTGGTGAAGACAGAGACGACGAGAGAAGAGCGGCGAAGACTCCAGCAGCAGCACGACAGGGATCCCCCCACTCCACACGACAGCCCCGAGGACCCCTCTCGGGGCCCCTCTTATACCGTCAGCGTGGCCTGGCTCCGCCCCTGGCCACGCCCCCTTTCTAGAACCTATCCGTGGGTTCCTGGTGTGTCCCTTCCGTGACCTTAGATCCCCCTCTGGTGTAACACCTGGCCTGCTGCTGTCAGGGCTGCTGTCAGGGCTGCTTTAAGCTGCAGATCCCCTTCCCCGCCAGCAGCCAGCGCTATGCTGCTACGTAGCTAATTCTATGTCACTACGCACCTATTCTCAAGCTATAACTTTAATTGAACATTTTAGCTAAAATATTACACTTACTACAACATGGTGCCCCATAGTATCAAGTTAAAGTTCGTATATAAATATTTCCATTCACATGTGTACATTTTTACGAGGTGCATTTTGCATTCATTTATTACACTCATTACCTCGTATATTACGGGTGTATCTCTTTTTCCAGTCACATTTACAAACTTTTCATAGTTAATCCACTGTGTGTGGCTTTTATGAAATCAACAGCACGGTACGTTGACAAGTTTCCTTCTTTCTGGCTGCTCTGGAGGATTGCCTTTGTATCTTTTTATTCCCAAAGTTATTCCGGTCGTACGATTAGGATCGTGACAAACTTGGACTGGGGGGTTTCGTGCGGTGTTGTCTTGGTGCTCTCTGGTCTCTTCATCAGCATTGCCACCTCGGGACGGCTGTTGTTCTTGAATGTGTGACTGCAGGTAGATGAAGGAGGCAAAGTCATGATTTCTTCCAATGACATCATGGCAATGGATGCAGACACTCCCAAGCAGGAACTGGTGGTGAAGATCACGGATGCTCCGAAACTTGGCTATATCTTAAACACCAAATCTGGTACGCCCCCCCCCTCCCACACAAGCAGTGTTCTGAAGGGTATAAACTGATGTGTGTGGCTTTAAGTATTCATAAAAGAGTGTTTTTTTTATCGGCAGTGTGTCCAGGTTTGTCCATCCCAAGTGTGACGCTTCATTAATGTTGGGAGTACGATAACCATGTTTCGGGAATGCTCGAGTGACGTCACTCCAGTGACATCGCCTTAGAATGTACTCAGGTGATGCCACAGTGCAATTACTCGATCCCTCTTTTTTTCTCATTAACAAAGCTTCTAAGCCACACACAGTCCAGTAGTATGTCAACAAGATGACAGCATTTTTTTTTTAGGTTGCGTCTTAAATTACTTCGCTAGTGCTGTGTATTGCTGGCTGGTGTTTTGGCGCATTTGAGGCTGGTGCTCAACAGCCCTGTTAAAAAAAAAGAAAAAACTATTTTGTGGGTGTTTGCTGCCAGGGTACATTATTACTCTTTTATCAGCAGAGACTTCCACAAACCGCTTTCTTCAATGGTCACGGCCCTTTCGCTGCAATGGTGCAAATTAGCGCGGTCGGGTACGTACGGCGCGAAAGAAGTTCAACATACGTACGTACGTGCCTTGTGTGCGTGCGTGCGTTCGTTCATGCTCCCAGGGCCGGCGAGTGCCCGCCGCTCGGAGAGCTCTTTCTCCGTGCAGGACGTGCTGGACGCCGCGGTCTTCTACGTGCAGAGCGTGCACCGTGAGACGGAGCCCGTGTACGACGCGTTCCGGCTCCACGTGACAGACGGCCACAGCGCCTCTCCCTCGTACCTCTTCAACATCTCTATACAGGCGAGCGGCGGCCGCGGAGAGGAGAGCCACGTCGCGACGTTTGGCAGGGGTGGAAAAAACTGTGACGAAGCACATGGCCGATCCCACAAAATATATAAACTACAGTTACCTTTTTTTTGCTTTTTTTTAATGTGTAACTTTGTCAGCAAAAAAAATTATAAACCAATTTAGGCTCAGGAATTCAAAAATACAATACTTTTTGGGTTTGTAAAGTATCTCAAGATGCTCTCCTCTTCTAAATGTTTGAGAGCATTTAGAAGGGGAGAGGTGATAGGTTATAATATCAGAGAGGTATGGGGAAGAAGACCTCAGTACTGAATGGTATCATATTCATTAGCTCAGAAGATTGCCAAAAGATCCGATAGAATTTAAATATGGATCTGTTATCTTGATAATATGCAGGTCTTATTTTATGATTATGTATTTTGTCAACTATTTTGACCATATATACCGGAGGGGTCCAATTGCAACTGTATCCACCACGTGTGTTTTTGTATCAAACCGAATGCGTTCAAATCAAATTTAACACGGTGACTTTTAACACTATACTGCATAGGGTATCGTGAAAACCTAGTCAATGCCGCATGAAGATGGTGTCTGTGGTGACTCAATAGTGTGGCAGTTAGCGCACTGCGCCATGAACTCCATTCACAGCAAACTCCAGTGACGATTGTCTGCACCGGTCCTGGGCTTCCGCAAAGTCGACTGAGCCTCAGATTAGTACAATACCTGGTACGGTGTGTGAATATCGCCACTCGGGGAAAAAAAGGCGGCCAGGTGTAGCGTTGGCTACCCACCCCTTTGTGTGCCAGTGCCGGCCTTTGGTCTGTTCAAGCCTATACGGGGGATCTTCGTCTTTCTACTTGCAGCGCAGTAATGATGAGCCTCCCAAGCTGGTGACGGGGACGGTCGCCTGCCGCCCCGGCGAGGCCATCGTGTTGCGGGAAGACGCGATCTCCGTCAAGGACATGGACACACCGGGCCCCGAGCTGGTGCTCACCATCACCCACAAACCCCAGCACGGTACGCTCGCCAGTGCACCTGCTTCTTTCATACCACACCCTGTCCTCCCGGCCATAGCCCAAGGTGACACAAACGCGTTGTTGTTGTTGCTGCTGCTGCTGCTGCACAGGCAAGCTGAGCCGCAAGGCTCGGCGGTCGGAGAGAGCCGGCGATGGGGAGCTGGCTCAGGGCTCCACCTTCACGTTCCAGGACGTGGTGGACGGGCTGCTGTCCTACACGCACGACGGCACGGACGGCGCGGTGGACGAGTTCCGGCTGTCCGTGTCGGACGGAGCGCACTCGCAGAACGGCCGCGTCGCAGTGTCCGTGGAGCACTCGCGCTCCGAGATCCCGCGCATGGCCATCAACCGTGGGCTGCAGATCCAGGCCGGTGAGATACGGTGCTGGTGGGCCTCGCGCGTGGGCTTCCTGCGACCTGTGTCTGGCAGTGTGTGTGCTTGTGTTTGTGTGTATGTTACATTCCGTTTACATGGTGCGTGGGAGGCCCTGCCTTTCCCGCTTTGGCCGAGGTCAGGGGTCAGCAGCCTGCGGCTCCGGAGCAACGTGCGACTTTTTAAGGGCTGCTTCGTCACGCTGTTCACATGCATTGTGGCTTTGAAATGTTGAGGTTTTTCGTTTTTGGTTTACCGAATTAAAAAAAAAGCTCTTCTTCTTATTTTGGTTTGGCGACCCCTGGCCTAGGTGGACTTCAGAGAATCCCCAGCAACAAAAACGGCAGCCACTGTACCGGCACGGATCGTCGATATTGATGGAGACAGAAAGCTGCGTGTTGAAATGTTTGGGTGAGGCAGGGGCACAGTAGTTGACGTGCTGAACCCTAGATCTGGTGACCTGAGTTTGATTCCCAGCTGTGGCTAACGTCAGTGATGAGCGATATTTAAACGGGTCTTCGGGCCTTGTGCAGGTCAACTCAGTCTTGAATGAGTAACTGTTTTGATGTGCAAACATCAGCACTGGATAGAAAAAGGCAGCAATATGTGCCACTGGTCACACCACCCTTTTGTGCGCTGTGCCGACCTTCATAGGTGCTCACTATAACAATACGTACTCTTTGGTTCTTTCGGTAAAGTCACGTAGTTATAAAATAAAATAAATCACGACGTTTCGGGCGCAACACCTGATGACGGACGCTTGTGTTGCGCCCGAAACGTCGTGATTTATTTTATTTTCTACCTACATGACTTTACCGAAAGAACCAAAGAGTATGGATTCCTGCAGTCACAAAAGCTTCAAATCAAGATATTACAATAATTGCCCTGACAATACTTGCCCTGTGTAAAAATATGTATAGTGAGGGAAAAGAAGTATTTGATCCCCTGCTGATTATGTACGTTTGTCCACTGACAAAGAAATGATCAGTCTATAATTTTAATGGTAGGTGTATTTGAACAGTGAGAGACAGAATAACAACAAAAAATCCAGAAGAACGCATTTCAAAAATGTTATAAATTGATTTGCATTTTAATGAGGGAAATAAATATTTGACCCCCTCTCAATCAGAAAGATTTCTGGCTCCCAGGCGTCTTTTATACAGGTAACGAGCTGAGATTAGGAGCACACTCTTAAAGGGAGTGCTCCTAATTTCAGCTTGTTACCTGTATAAAAGGCACCTGTCCACAGAAGCAATCAATCAATCAGATTCCAAACTCTCCACCATGGCCAAGACCAAAGAGATCTCCAAGGATGTCAGAGACAAGATTGTAGACTTACACAAGGCTGGAATGGGCTACAAGACCATTGCCAAGCAGCTTGGTGAGAAGGTGACAACTTAAAAGACGCTATGGTTTACTTTATAATAGTTGGTAATTGGAGGCCTTTAGCGTCCATATACTAAATGCTTCTGTGGATATGTAAATTTTGACTTTAACACAGCTTTTTCTGTCACAAGCTAATCCCTCGACTATTTCAATTTTAAATTCTCCTGCTCTGATATGTAAACTCCTTTGTCAAGGCTCGCCGCGCCTCTCACCGAGCTTTAAAAGACGCTGCGAATCTTAGCAGCGTTAATTGAAGCTCTGTTGTCCTGACAGTTCTGTTCTTTATTTTATTATTTTATTCTCATTCTACGAGACTTTACCGAAAGAACCAAAGAAGAAGGTGACAACAGGTGGTGCGATTATTCGCAAATGGAAGAAACACAAAAGAACTGTCAATCTCCCTCGGCCTGGGGCTCCATGTATGATCTCACCTCGTGGGGTTGCAATGATCATGAGAATGGTGAGGAATCAGCCCAGAACTACACGGGAGCATCTTGTCAATGATCTCAAGGCAGCTGGGACCATAGTCGCCAAGAAAACAATTGGTAACACACTACGCCGTGAAGGACTGAAATCCTGCAGCGCCCGCAAGGTCCCCCTGCTTAAGAAAGCACATATACATGCTTGTCTGAAGTTTGCCAATGAACATCTGAATGATTCAGAGGACAACTGGGTGAAAGTGTTGTGGTCAGATGAGACCAAAATGGAGCTCTTTGGCATCAACTCAACTCGCCGTGTTTGGAGGAGGAGGAATGATGCCTATGACCCCAAGAACAACATCCCCACCGTCAAACATGGAGGTGGAAACATGATGCTTTGGGGGTGTTTTTCTGCTAAGGGGACAGGACAACTTCACCGCATCAAAGGGACGATGGACGGGGCCATGTACCGTCAAATCTTGGGTGAGAACCTCCTTCCCTCAGCCAGGGCATTGAAAATGGGTCGTGGATGGGTATTCCAGCATGACAATGACCCAAAACACACGGCCAAGGCAACAAAGGAGTGGCTCATGAAGAAGCACATTAAGGTCCTGGAGTGGCCTAGCCAGTCTCCAGACCTTAATACCATAGAAAATCTGTGGAGGGAGCTGAAGGTTCGAGTTGCCAAACGTCAGCCTCGAAACCTTAATGACTTGGAGAAGATCTGCAAAGAGGAGTGGGACAAAATCCCTCCTGAGATGTGTGCAAACCTGGTGGCCACCTACAAGAAACGTCTGACCTCTGTGATTGCCAACAAGGGTTTTGCCACCAAGTACTAAGTCATGTTTTGCAGAGTGGTCAAATACTTATTTCCCTCATTAAAATGCAAATCAATTTATAATATTTTTGACATGCTTTTATCTGGATTTTTGTTGTTATTCTGTCTCTCACTGTTCAAATAAACATACCATCAAAATTATAGACTAATCATTTCTTTGTCAGTGGGCAAACGTACAAAATCAGCAGGCGATCAAATACTTTTTTCCCTCACTGTAGGTTATATACGGGATCTTTGTGTTAGCTAAACTTGTAGACGTAGATTCAGAATGTTTAATCTAAAAATGTATATTGTCATTGCAGTTTGTTATGCTTAAAAGTGCTGTCTTCCTTGTATATATGAATTTGGTTTCATGGAGAATTCGTATTTAATACCAATGCATGACTGCTTCAATCTACTTTAATGTTAAAGCAACAGATGTCTGCTTGGCATTGACTATTACATTACTCATATGGGTCTTTTCGATTTAAAGCTTTCGTGACTGCAAGGATTCATCCTCTTGGTTCTTTCGGTAAAGTCACGTAGAATGAGAATAAAATAATAAAACAAAATAAGACAATAAAATTCCCACGACGTTTCGGCCACAACACAAGTAGCCTTGTGTCGTGAGAATTTAATTGTCTTATTTTGTTTCATTGTTTTATTCTCATTCTACGTGACTTTACTGAAATAACCAAGAATACATATGGGTCTTATTTCCTGGTTTATGTATTTAATCGAAGAGTAATATTAATTGTAATATACTCTGCTTATTTGCATCTATAGAGGGGTGCTGGCGATGCATCATATCCATGAAAGTAACTCCTGATATCCACAAAGGTGTCCAAAATTAAACATGAAAAGTAAGATTAATCTGCTGCATTTTCTGGGTCTTATCTGCAAAACACCTTATATAATAGGTTTATTTGATCACTTCTGACACACTTCTTCTGGGCAGCTGTTATTCATGGTTAGAAACCAATAATATAATTAATTCCCATCAATTCCAGGTCTTTTCTTTGTTCCGCAGAAGATGTGAATAATAGGAAGAAGCCTTGACAGACATTTGTATATTTTTTTTAACAGATCGATTGGGACCACGGATAATGGACTATGCAATGTGTATCATTATACTTCATAGGGACTGGTGCTACTCCACTACCTCACTGGAGCCCTCGCAGTAGCTTGCGTTTGTCAACTCGAAAGCATTCCCAGAATGAACACCTCCAGTAAAGCTCCTGCGCCCTCCCCCGTGTGCCACGCGGCGTGATTGATGTTGGTGCTCGTCTGTAAGTGCTGCCGCTGCTTGCATTCCCCAGGCTCGGCCGCTACAGTCACGGCCCAGCAGCTGCAAGCCATGGACGTCGACTCGGACACTCTGCAGCTCAAGTTCTTCGTGGTCCGCGACGCGCCCGTGGGCCGTCTGCTGCTCGCCCAAGCCGGGCCCAAAGGTGGCTCGAAGGGCCAGCAAACGCAGCAGCAGGTGTCCGTCAAGGGCCCCGTCAAGAGCTTCACGCAGGCCGATGTCAACAAAGGTATCGGCGGAAAGGCATTTGCGACATCTATCCCAATTACAACTGTGGAGTCGTTCGCTTATTGATTCATTGTAATTGCGGTCGTGGACGTGTTTTTGTTTTGCAGTTGTGTTGTTTCTATCATTGCTATCATCACCATCAGCAACACCATTGCAATGGTCATATTTAGAGAACCTTCTGGCCAGATTATGTATACATTCGTTTCTCAGTATAATCGATTTACTCTCAGTTGATGCGACACGTTGCTCAGTTATTGCCATTGCTGGTAATTGTGCTTCTCCTCTCTGGCAGGGCTGCTTGAGTACAGACACAACAAGGGGGAGGATGGTGGAAGCTTTGCCTTCAAGTTTGACATCGTGGATCAAGAGGGAAACAAGCTCATCGATCAGTCCTTCCACATCACCATCCTAGGTCTTAGATGTTTATACACATACATCCTTGATTATTTGGTCTTGCAAATCAGCACTACAGCCTATTCACGCCATGTTTCAACGAACAGCTATGGTATCGGCAATTGCATTTTCTTTATGTAAATGTACTTTTTTTATGAGCCACTTTTTGCATATTTTTCAAAGACGTATAGTTCAGTTACGTAACGATTCACTCCCCATTTTATTTGACGATGGTGTTCACCTCTTGGTGTCTTGACTTGTAATTTTATTATTTTGTGGTTGGGGTGAATGTAAAAGCTCCGGCGGCTGCCGTGGGTCCACGTGAACCGATCGCGTACAACGTATACGAATCGACTAAATGATCTGTTCTCACAGAGGACCGGCTTCCGCCCGTGGTGGAGGTGAACAAGGAGCTGGTGGTGGAGGAGAACTCCGTGGCCAAGCTGGGCACGGAGTTGCTGTCTGTGACTGACGCGGACACGGAGCCGGGACAGCTGCTCTACCGCGTCGCTCGGGGGCCTTCGCTCGGCCGCCTTGAGATGCTCGCCAATCCGGGTATGGAGACACGCGGGGGGGGTGCCTTGTGCTGTGCACAACAACAGAGGCATGAGCAGTTAATTAACATGGACAGTTGATTCACGTGGCCGTGCTCACAATAAAACAAAGCAACTAGTAATTGACACCTTAAATTAAAACATACATTCAGCAACAGACACAGAGTCGCTTGCTCGGGTGACAAATCGTTGTGGCAATACATTCTAGCCTGGCGAAACACTGAAGAACAGTTTACAACTGGAGGGGGAGGGGGTGTTCAGGGAAGACAAAATGGGAGGGTTGTGGGGGGTCACGTGTGTGGCTTTGTTTGTGCACCTGTGAGTGTGCACATTGTGTGGAGCAGTCGTGAGGTGGATAGCGCACTGCGCTACCAACCCGGCGACACGAGGTTGAATCTCGCTCGCAGCAAATATCGGTGATGAATATCTGAACCGGTGCTGGGCCTCCGCTAGGTCGACTCAGCCATAAAAAACGAGTGCCCGGTGCGGTGTGTAAACATCAGCACTGGGGAGATGAAGATGGCCGGGCGAGGTGTTGGTCACCCACCCCCTCGTGTGCCCGTTCTACGGAACTTCATGGGTGGTCGCTAACAGCACTTTCCCCAACAGCTTGTTTGGGCTGTAAGGGGGGCGAGGGGGTTGGGGGGGAATCCTTGTGTGTTTTGTGTGTGTGTACACACGTGAATTAACTGTGTGCATGTGCGGGCTCTGTCCGCAGGCCGGGCGGTCACGGCGTTCTCGCAGGCGGACCTGGCTGCGCGGCGCGTGCAGTACGTGCACACGAGCTCGCAGGAGAAGCACGACGACGACTTCACCTTCACCGTGTCCGACGGCAGCAACGAGGCGAGCGGCCCGCCGCGGCAAACAACACGCCCCACCGTGGCCCACCGTGGCCCACTGCCGCCCACCGTGGCCCACCGTGGCCCACCGTGGCCCACCGCCGCCCACCGTGGCCCACCGTGGCCCACCGTGGCCCACCACCGCCCACCGTGGCCCACCGTGGCCCACCGTGGCCCACCGTGGCCCACCGTGGCCCACCGCCGCCCACCGTGGCCCACCGTGGCCTACAGCGGGGAGCGGGCCGTTGGGCACGAAACCGCCACCCACTCTGTACACGTTCGCTCGCAAGTAGTGTGTTAGCTCGGACGATGGGCGATTTTTTTCTCTCGGATGTAGCAAAAAGCAAAAACAACGAGGAGACTTTCAGCACCGAATTGACCCTTCTCTCCCTGTTTAAAATAACCCCAGGACCGGTGTAATTGATCATTTACAGAGTATTATTATTATTCACAAGTATAAACCAATTGTAAACATATGTAATATATTAAGATATAAGCACATATTAACATCATAATAATTATATCATTTATATTTGTTGTCCCATGAATACAAACTGCATTACATAAATCGGTGTAGCGCGTAGACATCAGATAAAATCAAAATGAAATGAATATACAGCTCAAGTAAATTGTTTTTGCGCGTGTTGCCAAGCTGTTCCATTTATAACCAGCTGGCACTATCCAGAGGGTCATTGAGGAGTGACACATGACGTGAGCGAAGTGCACCACAGTCATCACCGTAGTATTTATATCCTGCAGCGCAAAGCCTTTGATTTACACTACGTGGGAAAATGTACAGCGGCCAGGATTTTTGAGATGCTAGGGCTGCCTTTTCACAAGACCCTTTCCCAATAAACCTCCGCCTGAAATAGCTGGATGGGTAACCCAAGCAGATCCATGACCTCAGTGTCTTAAAACCAATCCAGTCCTTTCAGGTGGTATGCAAGTAATCTCACAAATTTCGTTTACTAAACTAATTGTTTATGCTGGATCAAAGGATATATATCACGTTTATAGTGTACCACGTTTGCTTTGAATGGCTAATGTTGCAAATGTTTTGCTATTTAGTACTTGGAATTTGGCCTGCATCTCTTACTTAAACACTTGAGTTTTTAGTTTCATTTCCTTGAGTTTATTCCGTCGACGTCTGTTTACATCACTCCCGTCTTCCCACCGGTTTGGCTATTTTCAGCATCGCACTGGGAGTCACACTGGGTGATGTTGCTTGTGACTTTAATCCCATGTAAGGATGCTAATGTCCAACTGCATGTGCCAAACGTATCGGTGGCCACATTTCTAAATGAATTTTTATCACACGATCCTTAACTGTTTTAAAAGGAAAGCAGCTGTCATAGTATCTTGGGGTGGTGGGGGGGTTTCTGATTTGTTTTTCACACATTCGTTCAGGCGCTTCAAATTGCGCTTATTGGTGGAGTGGGGCCACGCAAATGCAATTACACAGGGCCCCCGTTTGGAAAGTGGTCATGGAATGCATGCTGCTAGGTGATCATGTCATCTAGTGGAGTCAGTGAATTCACGATATCCCTTCTCTTTGCACGCGTGGTTAGCGAACACCCGCAGCAATGTGGTGTTATACTTCTGATATGCACTAAACATCCCTGCACGTGTGATTGGCGTACTCTTTGCGACTTTGTGCTTCAGTATTGACGCGCATTACCCGCCAGTGTGCTACTTGATTGGCGCATTACTGGAATGTTGTTTTCCTCAAATGCGTTTGCGACTCCGTGTCTGCAGTGTTATGATTTATGTGCTGAATTACTTTTTTTTTTTCTCACCAAGGTCCTCCGCGGGTCATTCTTGTTAAAGAGCCGACGGCTGAATGTTTCTTATCTGCGTCAACAAATAAATTCAACAACAACAGTGAAACGTAACCAAACGCGTCTTGCAAAAGTGGCAAGAGACACGGCGAGCGCCAAAACAACACGAGCAGTGCGCTACAAAGCCCGAGTTTGACAATACCGGAACCGGTCCTGGGTTCTCCTCCAGGCTGACCCAGACATAAAATTAATACCTGATATCAATGTGGTATGGTGCGGTGCTATTGCTGGCTTTAATAGGTGCTCGCTAACAGTGTTTGCCCTATCAAGCCTGCAAACGGTTTCATGTGGGGGGAGATCTTTGACTGTGTGTGTGTGCGTGCGCCAGGTGAGACAGACGATGCGGATCCGCATCGCGCCCGTGGACGATTCGCTGCCCGTGGTGCAGAGCCTCGGCATGCGCGTGCAGGAGGGCGTGCGCAAGCCCATCACCGAGTTCGAGCTCAAGGCCACAGACGCCGACACGCAGGTTGGCCCCGCTGCCCTCCAAGTAGTTACGAATTGTGGTAATGTGGTGGAATTGAAAAGTACGAGCTGTTGCCGTGTGTATGTTTGTTGAACTTCTTTTGCACCGTACGTTGCCAACCATGCTAATCGGAGCTATCCAGTGGTAATAAGCAGTGGCGTAGCTATCAAGGGTGCAGGAGGTGCAATTGCGCTTGGGCTCACGAGGCGGAGGGGTCCAGGTTACCAGGTTATGATGAGGGGGGTGTATTTTGACAGGTGGGCCCCCCTTTCATGACTTGCACCAGGGCCAATGCCAACCACGCTACGCTACTGCTAATAATTTTATTGGCCTCATTCGACAATTGTATTTACGCACGAGAGGGTTTTTTAACACGATGGTTGCACGTTTCGGTGACTTAACTAACACAGCACACGCTCGAAGTCGGGTGTAACCCGCGTGAAATTTTCCACATCTGTATGCTACATTTAAAACGTGACGATTTTTTGTGTTCATTATTAACGGACATCCGCGTTGCATCAACCATCCGACAGCCGGACTCCATCACGTTCACGGTGGTGCAGCCACCGCGACACGGCGCCATCGAGCGCGGGACCGGAGGAGGGGCAGGGGGCCTGGCCGGCGCTGGCTGGCAGGCGGCCTCCACCTTCACCATGGAGGACGTGTACCAGGGCCGCGTGAGCTACAGCCACGACGGCTCCAACACGCTGCGCGACAACTTCGCATTCACCGTCGGCGACGGCACCAACCCCTTGTTCGTGCTCAGGGAGGGCAGTGCTGAGGTGGGCGGATTGGTCAGGCGGGGGGCCGCTCTTCGCCGCGTCGTTACGTTTCCACTGAGCGTGACCGTTTATTGAGGGGTTCCGTTGAGGCGCAGGATACTGCCCTGGTGTAATGGTTTGCACACTGGACTTGCGCTCGAGAGGTGGCCGGTTCAATCTTCTGGTGCAGCACTCGAAACAGTTGGGAAAGTTTCTTAAATCCTTCCGCCTCTGTTCACCCAGCACCGTAAATGGGTACACCGCAGTCGATCGCTAGGTCTCGTGCAGTGAAGTAAAGGGTAGCTACTCTGACCTTTTCCAAGACATCGAGCCTGTTTGGAAGGGTCGGCCTCACTAAGTGGTGCACCCTCCTGCACGCCCTGGCTAGGGTGTTTGTTGCGTGGCAATCCAACTGACATAGTGCGAGGCCCAGGAGGCAGGTATTATATATATTATATATACAAGGCCTGGGCCTTAGTTTTAGTAGCTTTCTGTACAGTAAAATTTTTAATACTAAAACACATGCAACAAAAAAACTCGCAGCAAATGTAATGATCTCTTTGTTTGCACATTATTTACAACCTTGTTTTGTGAGCTCACCGTCCTGCTTTGAACTCCCACAGCCACTGGTAAATATGATGAGGAGAGACCAATGCAATTGACCAGCGATAACTCGGTGTACCGACGTTAGTGTGTTGGATAATTATCGGCGAGGAGAGGATTGAGTGGGACTGCTCGTTGTTAACATGTGCGCCGTCATTCCAGGTGGTGACGGCCTTGCCTCAGAAGTTCCAGATTGAAATCCTCCCGGTGGATGATGGCACACCCCGTATCGTGACGAACCTGGGCCTGCAGTGGCTTGAGTACATCGAGGGCAAGGTGAGGGTCTTGAAGGTTTCCACCTTTTTGTGGCGGCTGCTCTTAAGCCACATGTCGACCACCACTATGAAGGGTGCTGGCTAGGTTCACAGGCTGCCTTAATCAGAAATTTTCTCTGTAGCCCTCACCTGGCTGACTCTCTGATAAACGGATTAGCAGGCTTTTATCTGGGCCACCCTCCGAACCATTTGTGATGCCAAAGGGTCAATGTAAAACTGAGATGCACAGTCGGTAGCATCCCTCGCTAAGATCAGCTTTAGGGTTGTGTTTTTGTATTAATAAAGCACATGCTGGAAAATTACAAAAGTTATAGATGTTCGCGGGAGATAGCAAAACCTCACCCGAGCCAGCGGGGGAGAGACGGCGTTGTGGCTGGTGGAGCGACGGGGACATTAAATTATCTTTTTCACTTTTGATCTTGGAACACTACATGGGCAATTCACTAAGTGGGCTCTGGAAAATGGTTGTGGAAATGTAGCAGAAGGCACCAATTACCCCATAATTTACATGCAAGTGCTTTCCTTGTTTTGAGTTCACGGAGGGGTAATGCTGCCAGCTCAACATGGAGGCATCTCAATGTAACACAGAGGCATTTTGGTCGTTATCAACATTGCATAAATTAGTAATTGCAGGTGATTTTAAAATTGTAGCTTTTTGGGTCAAAACAAAACTGTGTGCTCTTGTAAATTATCTCCATTACCAGCTCATTTGTGGGTGTGGAGTGTGGACAGGAGTTAATGGAGGCGTTATTAAAATACTGTGTATATTTTTCCCATTGACAGGCAGCCAATCACATCACCAAAAAGGAGCTGTTGACCCTTGACCCTGACACGGATGATACCCAGCTGGTGTATGAAGTGACCTCTAACCCCAAGCATGGACACCTAGAGAACAAGCTGAAGCCCGGCGTTCCCGTGAAAGCCTTCACCCAAGGTGTCATTCTTACTCTTGAACATCAACACAAGCTTAGTGTGCAGAGAGCATCCTTGAAAGAAAAACAGCCCAAAATGTACTTTCTTATAGATGGATACCTACGCTATGTGGGTTAATGTATCTGCGGCTTTGCGTGAGCCCGTGTTGTACAATGCTGCTATAATTGATATGCTATAATTGATATGGACACTACACTACGTACATGCGGACTTGGCGAGCGAATGCATGCATCCCTCGAGTTGGAGGTGCCACCTGCCTGAACCCCAGCTGTTTTTTTCGGCCACACAGAGGAGGTGAACCTGGGCGTGCTGCGCTACGTGCTGGAGGAAGGCAAAGTTGAGGAGACCGTGGACTCGTTCCGTTTCTCGGTGCGCGACAGCAAGCCCAACGTGGTCAGCGATAACGTGTTCCACATCCAGTGGTCCATCATCAGCTTCCAGCACCGCAGGTTTGACAAACAAAGACAAAGATCGCCCCCTCCCCCCACCTACATAGCCTCAGCAGACTGTCGGGGCAAGTGCTGTTAACGGGCACCCGTGAAGGCAGTGGGAGGCGCTCTTTCTACAGAAATGTAGCCATTTCATTATATGGGTTAACTCTAAATCAATTACCAATTGTAATATTGGTGGTCAAAGCCTACATTTTAATTGATGCGACTGGAATACCGTATTTAAATAGACTATAGTGATATATATATATAAAGTATGGTTAAACAGCTCCCATGAATGATGACGTCAGAGGGCTTTCATCCAGCGAAAGAAGTGCTGCAAATTTTTTTAATTTTTTAATATTATTTATATGCGATCTTTGAAGAAGAAAAAAACGTCTTCTTAATGAGACATTAAAGTCAATTGGATGTCTCCCACGTTAGATGTTAACCGCTGCTCGCTGACTCCGTCTTCGCCTCGTCCAGGTACAACGCGAGCGAGACAGCGGGCACGGTCAGCGTGACGGTGAAACGGCGAGGGAACCTCAACCAGTACGCCATCGTGCTGTGCCGCACCGAGCCCGGCACGGCCACGTCCTCCTCCGGCGCCGGCTCACGGCGCGGCGCTCACGACTACGTTGAGTACGCCGCGCAGGTGAGGAAACAAAACAACATTTTTTACCAATTTTTATTTATTTTACCAGGTGAAGCCAACTGAGCTGTACAGCTCTTTTGCAGAAGTGACCTGGCCACAAATGACAGCTCAACGACGTGGCTTGTCACGTAGAAATGTATAGCAGCCAAATACTCTGAATGCATGTTTCTAAATGTGGAGGGACGAAACCGGAGGACTGGGGAAAATCCACGTGATGATGGGGAGAACATGCAAACTCCAAATATACAGCAGCAGGCGTCAGGGTCAGGATCGAACCCACGACCTCCTGTATACTAGGCGAGGTAGTTTACATCTCGCCACCGTGGCGAGGACCCCGCAGCACGGCACACGGCAACATGAGCCCCCCTCCCGGTCCCGCACGCACAAAGTCTGAACGCTGGTTAATCATGCAACCTTAGGGGTCCAGTTTATCACGAATGCATGCCGATCACACATAGTATGCTCTTTGGAATAACACTGCTTTAAGGCGATTGATAAAACTTACTCAGACTTAAGGATGGATTCCAAACATCTGCCAGTGACCATTTCCAGGTCTTTGGGCCAGAGTGCCTGAAACTGCGGCTGGCCGTACGAGGTTTACTGCACATGTTTACGCTCGGGTCCAGCAGTACGCGGTGGATCACCACGGGCTGCGGGTCACAGGTGGCGTCAGTTGGGGTTCGTTGAGGCTGGTACATGCAGTGGTTGTGGGATCCATCATTGCATCGCTCCCACACGAAAAGCACCGACTCGGAGCTGGCATCCACAACGAGGCGCCTGGCCCGGAGCGTAAAGCTGAATAATCCCTGAAACGCGAACACGGGAAGATTCCTGACACGGGTGCGCCCGCCACCCCCCCCCCACCCCCCCCCCCCCCTCGACGAGCGCAGGTGCAGTTCGAGGAGCGCGAGGACACCAAGACGTGCACCATCATCGTGAACGACGACGCCGTGTTCGAGGGGGAGGAGCGCTTCGGCGTGGAGCTCAGCATGCCGGCGTACGCGCTGCTGGGCGAGCGTACACGCGCCACCGTCGCCATCAACGACACGGAGGACGAGCCCACGCTGCAGTTCGACACGCGCCTCTACCGCGTCAACGAGAGCGACGGCACCCTGCAGGCCACCGTCATCCGCAAGGGTGCGCCCCTTGTTGTTGTCGTTGTCGTTGTCGTTGTTGTTGTCGTTGTTGTCGTTGTTGTTGTTGCTGCGCTTGTGCGCTCCCACGTCTACGCTTTCCATCTTCATGAACCCGCACTGACCGGCATGGTGAATTTCGGTTATATGACCGCCCCCCCCCAACCTCCTCTCGCGAATCACGTGGTATGGGGAGGCCTTCATCCAGCAGTGGATTTACAGAAGGGACGTACATGTACGTGAACGTTAAGGTAACCAGGAAAGGCGGGCTACAGTACATATGTATGTAGAGCTTCGTTCGCACCGTACGTAGCCAACTGCGCTCATCGGAGGTTCGGGGGGGGGGGTAGTCGGGGGGGGGGGGGAAGGACAAGAAGAAACTTACCACAAAGCAGTTTGGGGAGCGAGTTGCGCGAGACCCTGACCCTCGTGGCGCACCGCACGGCCTGGCCCCGCCCTCCGTCTCCTGTCACAGGAGACGCGGGCAGCACGGTGTCGGCCGTGTGCCACACTCTGTCGGGCTCCGCGCGGGGCAGCGGCGCGGGGCTCCTGGCGAGCGGCTCCGACTTCGTGTCGCGGCAGCTCGGCGAAGAGTCGCGCCTCGTGCTCGCGCCCGGCGTCACGGCCGCCTCCTGCGCCGTCACCGTCGTGGACGACAGCGAGAGCGAGCTCGAGGAGGACTTCCAGGTACGGGGAGGGTGGCCCCCCACGCCGGTTCCGGCCTCTCCCTGCGGTCACATTTATTCAGGAAGGCCCTGCACGTCACATTGGCGTGCGCGTTTTTGCCTATTGGTAGGCGATGGAGTGAATGGTCCGCACGCATGTGTTCACGAACCCGCTCCTGGGCCACGACGCAGCACGGTGTGTCTGTGTGTGCGAGAGTTACATCTCCTCCAACACGGGACCCATGACATTGACGAGTGCAGTCCAACAGAGTGGATTGCGTTCTTGGAACGAGTCGAATATATTTGTGCAGCCAGGCGTTAATTCTCATTGCGTGTGTGCCACCTAGTGCTGCGCGCGTGTGTGTGTAAGGGGTGTCCATGTGTAAATGAGAAATGCATGGGGGGGGCCCCCCTCTCTTTACCTCTGTTGTGTGCATTCACTGTTTGCACGTACGCGTGTGTAACTTCTTCCGCACCATACGTAGCCAACCGCCGCTGCCTCTGTTGCTAGGTGGCTCTGGCGGAGCCGTCTCCCAACGCGCGTCTGGGAGAGCGCACGACGGCTCGCGTTGTCATCGCCGGCCCCAACGACGCCTCCCTCGTCCACCTGGGAGACTCGGCCTTCAGCGTCAGCGAAGACGCAGGTGCGGCAATTCAACGTTGGCCGGTCATCTCCGATTGCTAATTGAGTACCGTATTTCAGGGGATTCACACCGGGCAAAATTAAATGTTTAAAATTGTTTACAATGTTCCCCGACGATAAGTATTTGTGTTGCATGACAAAACGTAATGAGTTGTTGGTGTACCCAACTAATATGATTCCGATTCAGTTTGCGTGAAGTACACGTTGGTTTTTTGTTGGAAGAGTTACCCAGAACTTTATATGCGCATTTTTCCTCGATTGTCAACGAGGTGCCACTGTGATCAGAGCCAAACAGAAGCACAAGAGTTTAAATATCGGGCAGGGTTCCCACTTAGCCCATCATCTGTCCGCATTCAATACAATGAGCAGCACTTCATAGAAAATGAGCAGTGAATACTCTGGCAATACTTGTCCCCATAATAGATGGATGTGTGGACATTCCGCAAGTGGCGAAGGGTTACAAACGGACACAAGTTCGACTTCATTGCTCATACGAGCAGGGATGCACTTCAACTTGACTTAACTTTGACGAAGCTCTTTTTAAAAATTAATAACAACAGTTTTGTATTTCTCAACTGGTGACTCACTCGTGGTGCCTGCGGACGTAACCTGCACGTCAAGGATTGGACCATTCTCCCACTCGCCCATCGCCCGCCGACCCTTTTGTTAATTTTATTTCTCGCTCGGTTGATGAACTTCGCGTGTTTCGCCGACGCGAGGCTCCCTCGTAATAACGACGACGGCGGCGACGACGACGACGACGACGATCTGCGTGTCACCACCACGCAGGCACGGTGGACGTTCCCGTTGTGCGGGAGGGATCGGATCTGTCGGCGGCCGCCTCGGTGTGGTGCGCCACCCGTCCCTCGGAGCCCCTCTCCGCCACTCCGGCCATCGACTACGTGGCCACCTCACGTCAGGTCCTCTTCGCTCCCGGGAGGCGGGACGGGGTGAGGTGCCCAATTTACACACCCCGTCGTGTGCAACCAGACGCGTCTCGGTCGTGTTACCAGCAAGGGAATGTTTCGAGTGATGAAACGCATTGGCGACGCGCAGCAGATCTAGTGTGTGCATTGTTTGTTGATAGAACATTAGCGTGGGAATGATTTAAAATGCTTCATTGTACTGTACCGGAAGTTGCGGTTCAATGTAAATGTTTTTGAAACCTTTCCAAAAAGACATTTTAATGTGCTTTGTTATTACGTAAATGGAAACTGTTTCATTCATTTAGTATAGTTAAACAATAAACAATATGATCAACAGTTTTACTACCATCGTTATTTCAACTTTGACTGTGTGCTGCTTTTGTTTAACTCTAATGAATTATGTTAACGCTCCTTCAGACCTGCACAATCACGATCCTGGACGACACGCAGCACCCGGTGATCGAGGGCGGCGAGACGTTTGTGGTGTTCCTGAGCTCGCCGCAGGGCGTGCAGCTCACAGAACCGTCCCACGCTACCGTGCTGATCAATGACACCTATCAGGACAGTGAGTAACTTACCTCGAGAGAGGCCCACAACCACACTTCTGTGCACACAGGCACGCACACGGGCACGCACACGGACATGCACACGGACATGCACACAAGATCCCCAATCCAGCCTGTGTCAACCCCATTCCAAAAGCACCTGCACTCATCCTCCGTTTCGCCTGCGTGTCTCTGGGGCATTTGCCGCTTGTTGGAGATGTTTGCTGTTCTAGCCAAGCGGCTCCCCCCGGTTTATACTGCGGCTGTATTTTCCGAAAAGTACGAACCGTCTTGCTTTGCAGCGGTCGTTAAGGATCTCATGACATTATTTGAAAAAATGTGCCAGCGTCACGGTCCAATTTTTTGCCAAAAAATGTTTTGCATGCAAATGACCTAATTTGGTTAAAAAAAAATTAAACCATGCAGCAACATTGCCCCCTACTGTGCAACTACTTTAGGTCTTCGCTCATTTACCAGCTTCACATTCCCTATTGCCGTACAAAAACTGGAGGAAGAGCTTTTGCTATTGATGCCCCCAGGGTCTGGAATGCTATTGCCAATAAACTGCAACTTGAATCACTACCTATGAGATCTTCACTCAAAACTGCTCTAGAGGAGTTGTACAACCCTAGCTGCCACTGCTATTCAGTGGCCTAAATTATGGCCCTAGATTTTGGTGTTATAATTTATTTATGTAGTTTATTGTTAAAAATTCCGTCACAGTCCCTATGATCACTGTTACATTGCATTTATGGCTTTTATTTTGGTGATTTCGAAAAGTTTTTTTTGTTTTGGCCATGTTTTTGTTTATTGTAGTACAGAGTTAGACTGATGGCCTTAATCTTAGTTGTCTTGTGGTTGTTGTTGTTGTTTGACTTGCATCCCACTGGGATTTTTGCACATAGGGTTGGTGTACGGTGCTATTTCAGGAATATTTTGATATTTTTTTTCCTGTATTTTCTGTTTGCACAGTCACAAAATCACTTTAAGATGTTTTCTTGTTCATGTTTTTTGTTTGTTGCGGTTGCACCCGATTCAAGAGCCGAATGGCTCACAGGGCTATACAAAAATAAATGAAACTATGAACTATGAACTATGACATCCTCCGTGACACTTAGCGCCTCCGCGGGAGCCCTAAGTATGGCACCGATACGAAATGTGTTAACGATTTGATTTTATTCTATTTAGTTCCCAGCGTGCAGTTTGGCAAGGAGGGCTACGCGGTGCAGGAGAGCGAGGGCTCCATCTCGGTGCCCGTGCTGCGCAGCGGCGATCTCAGCGCGCAGTCGTCCGTGCGCTGCTTCACACGCCGTGGCTCGGCGCGCGTCGATCACGACTACACGGAGCGGCCAGACACGGATGCCTCCCGCATCACCTTCCTGCCCGGCGAGAAGGTGGGTAACTCGCCAGGCACTGCCGCCCCGCAGGCAACCGCCATGCTGCTGCGGCCTGTTGAGTCTCGAACAAATGCACTGCCACGTGTGTACAATGTGGACGCAACATGTGAATAGAGCACCACCGGCAAGGTTGATTAAAACGTTCATGAGTAAATAGATGTGGGAATACGACTGGTTCGTGCGCAAAGTTGAACTGTCGTGTGCAGCCTGCAGAACTGGCATTTTGGATCTTTGATATCTGCAGTCGCTATATGTAAATGCTTTTTTTATGGAGGTGCTGTTTATAAATACCCGTGAGAGTTCTTTGATGATCCCATGAGACTGTGAGCTAAAACACTTTTCACCTTTCTGTTGGTTTTTAAGACCAAAAATTGCACTGTGAGAATTGTGGACGACACGGAGTTTGAGGGCGATGAGGAATTCCGTTTGCACCTGGGCTCGGCGCTTGGCTCACAATCGTCTGGTGCCAAGATCGGCAAGAATGACGTCGCCATCATCACCATCACCAACGAGGAAGATGGTAAGACGAAAACTTGCTTGATTGCCAAGGATCTATCACTTATGATTTTGTATATTCAGCCTGTTTGGAAACGTCTGAATTTCATGCAAAATTTAACTTTATGGTACTCAATATTTGTTGCTAATTGTGAGAGTTTAGCATTCAGGGTGCATTTTTTATTCAGTGTTAAAATCATTGTTGATTTCTCACCAAGCAGTGCTTTTTTTTCATGAACCACTTGACGATGACCATGGGACTGAGTTGACCCTGGCCGCTTTCTATGAAACCAGCATTTGACAAACAGTTAATGGCAGAGATGACTGGCTTTTGCCGTCAGCTGGCAGATACATATGCACGTGCAGTGTTTGCGTTTCGGTTTGATTGGCCTAACAGTGGTGTCATAAATTGAAACTTTAAAAATCCATAACGTTCACAAATCAAGAAAAATAGAAACGTTTCCAAAAAAAGAGGCCACCAAGGGGTCCAAGTGCATTATATAATCACGTGCAATAGCATCTCCTGACTGTTCACGAATTCGAAATAATCCACAGTCCCGGTTAACTTGTCATTTCGACTTTCTCTACTGTGTTTTCTTCAACGCAGCTCCCACCATTCAGTTTGAAGAGGCGAGCTACCAGGTGCGCGAGCCGTCCGGCCCAGACGGCATGGCCATCCTCACCATCCTCGTGCTCCGCTCGGGCGACCGCAACAAGACCTCCAAGGTGCGCTGCAGCACCCGCGATGGATCGGCGCAGTCCGGAATGGACTACAACCCCAAGAGCCGCATCCTCAAGTTCCTGCCCGGTGGGTCTTCACGAGTGGCCAAGTTTGTGTCAGATGCCTCTGTCGGTGGTCTTCGTTGATCTTTAATAGTTACGTCTGCCGGCTTGACTGTAGCGGGTGCGAAGTGGTTTTGCCAAAGGCTTCATTGTTTATGTTGCGTGAGAGGCTCCCCAAAGGTTGGCATTTAATTATTTAAGATTCTTCTCTGCCAAATTCTTTCCAATGTCAAACATTTGTTGATATGGTCAAATCCACGGCAATGGAATCATAGCAAAGAACACACAATCACAAAATGCAACACAAGTATCATATGAGCTTTTATAGTTTACGAAGCTGTCAAATATAAACCACCAACACAAAGACGCCTGTATAGCCTTAACAGACTGTTGGGGCAAGTGCTGTTAGCGAGCACCTAATGAAGGCCTGCACATTGAGCGGGTGGGTGGCCAATACCACACATGGCCATCATCGTTTCCCCAGTGGCGATGTTCACACACCACACCGGGTACTCATTTGAGGCCGAGTCGACCCAGGGGAGGCCCAGGACCGGTACAGATAATCGTCACCTGGTGTTGGCCACGAGCGGGAATCGTGATCCGGTCGGCGGGTTCGCAGCGCTACACCGCCGCTGCTGCCCACCCATATAAACTGCAATCCTGAAGAGAGCCTCATCCTCCTCGCTTGTCGTCGCTCCGCGTGACGCAGGCGTGGAGCAGATGGAGTTCCCCGTGGAGATCCTGGCCAATGAGGACCGCGAGTGGCACGAGTCCTTCTCCGTGGTGCTCGGGCCAGACGACCCCGTGGAGGCCGTGCTGGGAGACGTCACCACGGCCACGGTCACCATCCTGGACCAGGAGGCCACAGGCAGCCTCATTCTGCCAGCCCCGCCGATCGTACGTGATGGTGGACCGCGGCCTCCCTGCTCTTAGTGCAACACCCGTCACGGATCGCAGTGAAATTAAGAGGCGGTGCGCGCTCTGTCCCGTTTGCTGAACATTTTAGGTCGTGCACGAGACTTTTAAGTCACGGGCAAGCGCGTCAGAAATGGCACTTGTAACGCACGGCTTGCCATTTTATGGCGCTGTAGAAGTTGCCGTTATTATTATTATTATTGGTTAGAGCACTGAGATATCACTCCCTTACGTTTCATTGTCAATGCAGTGACCTATCTGCAACGCTATGATGGAGCATCCGACTGATTTTAAAGTGTTTGGTTTTTGTCATGAACAAACCTTTACATTCACATTGGATAGGCAGAACACAGTTATTGGCGTGCATCCACCAGATGACAAATACCTGTGTTTTTAGTTTTTATCACGAATCGTAGATTGCTACGTATTGAACATCCTCTTACAGATCTAAGCGCTGCTGCCCCCATATAACTTTCACCGAGTAACACCTTCCCTGCCCGCCCGCCTGCCCGCCCTCGCCACCCTAGGTGGTTTCCCTCGCCGACTACGACAGCGTCGAGGAGGTGATGAAGGAGGGCTCCAAGAAGGACCCATCGCCGGGCTACCCGCTGGTGTGCGTCACCCCGTGCGACCCGCACTACCCCAAGTACTCGCTCACGCGCGAGCGCTGCGAGGAGGCGGGCATCAATCAGTCGGCGCTGTACTTCAGCTGGGAGGTGTCGTCCCCCACGGACGCCAACGGAGCTCGCTCGCCCTTCGAGACGGTCACCGACCACACTCCGTTCACGAGCGTCAACCACAAGGTGGGCGAGGGGGGGGGGTGGAATACCCAACGCAGGGGCCGCTCCCTGGGTGAATCTGCACGCTTTTAACCCGTGCCTTTTGGTTACAATTGAACACCTAGCAGTAGCAGTACAACGCACTGGCAGTCCACTGCCGGATGAAGGCCTCCCCATGATGTGCAGAGATCACGGGGCTGTTTGGCCATGCAAAACACCGCTGGTCACTGGGGGTTGACAGAGGCAATGGGCAATTACCGCTGCTTCATTGCTCGGTAAAATTCCTGTTGAAATGTAATCGGCAGCTCCCGCACAGAACGGCGTCCCCGTGAAACGGAACCTACAGTCGTCGTCCTCTTGCGTGTCCCGCGCGGCCGCGCAGGTGCTGGAGAGCGTCTACTTCGGGCGCCGCTTCCACGTGCGCTGCGTGGCACAGGCGCGCGACAGGAAGGGCCAGGCGGGCACGCCTCTGCGCAGCAACACGGTCACCGTCGGCACGGACAACAGCATCTGCCACACGCCCGTGTCGGCCGGCTCGGCGCGCGCCCTGCAGGCGCAGTCCTTCATCGCCAGCCTCGAGTACCTGGACGTCAAGCACGAGGAGCACCCCAACAGGTGCAGGGCCGCCGCCGCCGCCACCTCGTGTTTAAACGATGTCAATGCAGCTGCCGCCACATCTAATTGGTCATAATAGAGAGGGGTCTTTTACTGGTAGGAACGAAGTTGTAAACTGAGTGTACCAGCCAGCAATAGATTAATGTGTCCGTCCGTCCGTCCCCTTTCAATACTTTAACGAAGTGAAATCTCGTGCTGTTGGGGTGTAAAAATAAAATTGCACAAAATTCCAATGTTCCTACTAGCCCACCCTGCAGGGACCTGTTTTTGGGGTTAGATCGTGTAAATATAAAATGTGTCGTTAAACCCGCCACCACCCGACACAGCCAATTAGTGAGGTTTGTCTCGTAGGTAGGCAATGCCGACTCGTTACTAGTGCAGCACACCGGGTGTGTTGGAGAGTCAATCCACAACATTCACAATCTGAGTATGACGTTTCGCCAGTAATTACAACCAGCATCATAATTACAACCAGATGATGCCGGTTGTAATTACTGGCGAGACGTCGTGCTCATGTTCTGTTTACGTGACAAACCTTACTAATTGGCTGTGTCGGGTGGTGGCAGGTTTAACGACACATTTACATTTATGCTATCTAACCAAAAAAACCCTGTTATGGATGATATTGGTCGTGAAAGCCTACGTGTTAAACAGATGTATTGTTGTGATGTGCTGTATACGCGTAATGTACGTATGTAGACCTTCTTTCGCACCCGTACGTAGCCATCCGTGCAGACACGATTGGGGGGAAAAAAGCCACATCAACATGTAGATCGAGGGCTACTTTTGAAGGTTGGCCATGATAAAAAATGGTAATTTAAAGGCAGCGATCAAGAGCAGACAAGCGCTTTCGGATCGTTGAATTGGATAATGACAAGCAACATACCGATGTGCCGAGCGAAGACCGTTTTTATCATTGTATATCACCCACTTTGACAGCTAGAGCACAAGCATAGAGGCGTGCATGCTCTGTGTTACACCAAGGAAACGATGGTGTTGACTTGGGGAGGCCTTTAGCCAACAGTGGCTAGAGCATGGCTGACGATATCCCCAACACAACGAGGTGCAGTTTTGGGAAGCAGTGGAATGTTCTTCCTTAACAGAAGAGGCACACGCAGTTCTTGACAACCAAACATCCCTGTTTCCGCATCCTACAGGTCGTACAAATAGCGATAAACGGCGACAATATACAGTACACAGCAGCGCGGTGAAGTATGGTCACACAACCCCTATGACTGGCACGGGGGGTGAAGCCTTCATCCGGCGGCGGGCAACAAAAGTGCTGCAAATCAGTCATCGGCGATAACGAGCGTGCTCATGCTGCCCTTCACGCGCGCGCAGGATTCACATCTCGATCCAGATCCCGCACCAGGACGGGATGCTGCCTCTCATCTCCACCATGCCCATTCACAACCTGCACCTGCTGCTCTCCGAGTCCATCTACCGGCAACAGCACGTGTGCTCCAACCTCGTCTCCCTGCGTAACCTCAGAGGTGTCACGGATTCGCATCGCACAGCACAGCCCCGCGCGGCTCGCAGGAGGGGGAGGGCGCGCGCCTGTTGAAAATCAAACCAGCGGTGATATTCTCCTAGCACAAGGCTACCATGATGCCGCCGCTTGGCAGACGAGTATGGCCCCGCAGTAGTTTCACAGTAGGGGGGTTTTTGTTGCTTTGTTGGCTTTCACCCAACTCGGTCATTTACAAGTACATGTTTTACCGTAACGCCGGCTCACGCATCGGCCAACCGTGTTTTGGATGAACATCACCGGATCTTTACCATCCGCTCTGAAGCAGACTGCATATTTTCCAGGTTTTTCACCCGCAGTATTTATCAGTGTGGGGGGGGCCTTAATCCAGTCATGGATTTCCAAAGGGCTGACCAAATATTATTATGGCACTTATTTTTTTTATCAACGGTAATAATATTGACTGTATTACGTATTTTGATTTAAAGCTTTCGTGACTGCAGTAATTCATATTCTTAGTTTTTTCGGTAAAGTCACGTTGAAGAGAAACAACAAAATAATAATATATATATAAAACAATAACAAATTCTCACGACGTTTCGACCATAACTCAAACGGTCATCTTCAGGTGTGTTGGTTTGCATAAATTTATTTGTAAACGGCGCATTTATTTATTTATAAAAAAACGTTAGCGTCACGCGCAGCGATTTGGCAGTTTACCCAGGACTAGTCCATCTATATTTTGAAAAGCTATCACTCAAACCATGAAGAAGAACCCTCTTCAGGAGCCTTTAAAACCATCACTTTACCCTACATTGCTGGGATCACAAAAAAGATCTCCAAAATCTTGAATAAACACAAGATCCAGGTCCGTTTCAACACATTACATAAAATCCGTGATCTGGTTCCGTCTGTAAAAGATGTGATTCCGGACATACAATACCCTGGTGTCTACAAACTAAGTTGCCTCTGTGGTAGTAGTTACATTGGAGAAATCAAACGCCATGTCTCGGACCGCATTCGTGAACACAAAGCAGACCTTAAACACGGTAGGACCAACACCTCGGCCGTAGCAGATCATTGTTCTAATTCAGTAGGCTCACATGCCATTGACTTTTCCAAGACAGAGGTTCTTTGTAAGCCATCTGGCTTCCATGAGAGATTCGTTCATGAGGCTATCCACATATACAAGCACAGAGACAATTTCAACCGAGAAGATGGATTCTATCTTAGCAATCATTGGAAAGATTTGATAAACCATTTTAGTTCTTAATTGATTGTTCACGCTTACATTGGCTTTCAGACAGCATACATTATTAAAAAAAAAATTTCGTCTGCCCCCTCCTCTTTTCAAAATATAGATGGACTAGTCCTGGGTAAACTGCCAAATCGCTGCGCGTGACGCTAACGTTTTTTATAAATAAATAAATGCGCCGTTTAAAAATAAATTTATGCAAACCAACACACCTGAAGATGACCATTTGAGTTATGGTCGAAACGTCGTGAGAATTTTTGATTGTTTTATATATATTTTATTATTTTGTTGTTTCTCTTCAACGTGACTTTACCGAAAAAACTAAGAATATGTATTACGTATGTTGTAAAAACACAGCAGGAGCTTATTCAATGGTTAGAATGGTAACAAATTATTGACAGTCATTCTTTTCACTTTATATCCTTGTTTATGATGTGTCCATGGAAGGTTATCTGTTTGTACACGATGCTATACGGTATGTTATTTTTTTTCTAGTGATGTCTAGTAACAGTACAGTAATTGTGCAATAGGTAAAGGTGCAGCCCTGCAATTGCTCGCTCACACCTTTGCTGGTAGAAGGGCATCCCACTACAGGGGAGTTCTGGAGGCCTACTCTTCCACATTACTCGTGGTATACACTATCATTATTCGTACGCATCACTTCGCTGTACTTGTATTACTAAGGACTTGTACGTCCCATCACGTTAAGTGCCTGTTAAGCGGGCTTGCCTTCGTGGCCGTTGAGCCAATGGGCTTGGCGATGCTGACCGCGTTGCACGTTTGTGGCCAACCCCTCCCCCCCCCCCCCCCATGCTGTGCGCCGACCCCACAGAGGCTGGATTCCTGGACGAAGAGAAGGCAGAGACGCTGGTGCTGGGGCCGGGCTTTGACCGGCCGTACCAGTTCGACGGGAGCGTGCGCGAACCGCGCACTATCCAGCTCTACCGTCACCTGAATCTGAAGAGCTGCATCTGGACCTTCGACGCCTACTACCACATGACGGAGCTCATCGACGTGTGTGGGGGCTCCGTCACCGCCGACTTTCAGGCACGATGCTCGCCGCCGGGTAGTCCACGGCCGGAGCGCGGCGCCGACTTCCCGGAGTCTTCGGTGGCGCCGTGGCAACGATCAGGAACCCCCCCCCCCCCCCGATTTGAATCGAGTCCATTGCTCAGTGTTGTTGTGGTCCTTGATTAACAGGCTGTTCAGATGCAGTTTCTCCTATGAATACATCCGCACGTTAATTATTGTAGAGATGTTCATAATATAGATGTTAATCGCACGAAAAGAAATAAGATGATAGATTAATACAGAAACGTCTATATAAATATATATATAATTGAGATGTTTTACGTTAATACGTAAAGGAACAGATTAATAAATAGTTAATTGTCACCAACTAATGCTTTAAAAATACAATACTTTTAAGGTAAATACTACGGCATACCAATACAACTTTTACAGAATGTGGCCATGCTCGATTGAGATTTAGTCTAAAACTCACGTCACGAGGTGTCCCATGTACATGGAGTACACCAAGTCCTCGCTTAATGCATTTTCACACGACGCCTTTTCGCAAAAAATCGGGTGGATTCTTCTTTTAGGGAACACTTTTCGCGCAATGCGGAACACACCGTTACAGCTCAGGATGTTCCCGGTGTAACGCGGTTTCTGAGCGGTTGACGACAAACTATTTTCTTGAGCTGCACGGCTGAGCGGTGCGGGAATTCTAGGGGTGACGTGCATGCCAAAATGGGGCATCGTCCTCCCAAATTTGACCGGATCATACTTGTCTATACCTCCTGATCTTGGCAATCTGATTTATTGAGCCCTTCGTATAAGTAACTGATTTGTAGTCTCTGGTCTGAGTCCTATGAAAATGATGGAAAATATTTAAGGCTTCCATGCGTTGAATTATTGTTGCAGGTGCGGGACTCGGCGCAATCCTTCCTGACGGTCACAGTGCCTCTTTACGTCTCGTACATCTACGTAACTGCTCCACGCGGCTGGGCCTCGCTGGAGCACCACACCGAGATGGAATTCTCATTCTTCTACGACACTGTGCTCTGGAGGACCGGTGCGTATCTGGGCATCGTGAGATACATACATTGAACTTTGAATAAAAATGTCATGCATAACGTACCGTGCCGTGGCTTAGATGTGCAGGCGTAAAATGCTTTGCTGTGCTTGCTTCAGGTATCCAGACGGACAGCGTCCTCTCTGCAAGGCTCCAAGTCATCCGCATCTACATCCGCGAGGATGGGCGACTCGTGATTGAGTTCAAGACACACGCAAAGTTCAGAGGTCAGGTTCTCAATTTCCCTGGGCTCTGGCCTATTGACAGTTGCAGAATCAACATTGATGGGAAATCCTTTGATCACCAACTGCAAGAAGTTAATGTGTTCACTGAAAATGCTATTCTATCGATGGGTTAATATCAATATTGACCACGTAACACACGAGAACATTTGTATCTTTGCAATCGGGACTTGATATGATAACAAGAGGGATGCACGATCAATTCGGATTGGAATCAGATCTGGGTCATCATTGGATCCAACTTGATTGGGTCTCATCGGCAACATACTACTCTTTCGGTAAAGTCACGTAGAAGGGAAACAATAAAATAATCAAAATATAAAACAATACAATTCTCACGACGTTTCGACTGCAACACAAGCAATCATCATCAGGTGTGAAAACCAACAGCAAGACGTTTCGACTGCAAAACAAGCAATCATCATCAGGTGTGAAAACCAACAGCAAGAAAATTTCTAGCGAGAAAATTTCTTGCTGTTGGTTTTCACACCTGATAATGATTGCTTGTGTTGCAGTCGAAACGTCGTGAGAATTTTATTGTTTTATATTTTTATTATTTTATTGTTTCCCTTCTATCTGACTTTACCGAAAGAACCAAGAATATGAATCCCTGCAGTCACGAAAGCTTTAAATCAAAATTTAACATGCTACTCTGTATCCAGCAGTCCCGAACCGTGCACCTCTAGAAAATAAATACAAAGTAACATTCAGAAATTATTTTGATTAATAAAAGCTATTGTAATTATACTCATTATTAAAACTATGCACTCATGATTGTCATCTTAGGTCATGCCCCGTTAAAGAAAATTGTGTGGATAATAGAAAGTGTATTTGACAATATACGACAGATACAAATGCAGATAACCGCAGATAACCACAGATAATGATGAGATAATAGGAGTCGCGTGCAATACGGCCATACATAATTGGAGTTGCGATGCATATTGAATGTCATGCGAGGAGGCGTGTTAGTGTCTTTACCGCTCCAACAGGAGGCGCTGTGTGTAACACATTCAGCACGAGTGTCTCCACTTTGCCGTAATCCTGCCAGGCCACCCCTCGTTTAGCAGTGACCTTTCTCTATCTATCATTGAAGCCAGTTTCACTAAATTTGAACCAATTTGAAGAATAATACTTATTAAAAATTTAAATAGGGAACCTAAAATAAGATGCACAAATGAAATGTTTAATCTATTACTAATAATGGTATAAATTAGGAACACAAATACCCTTAACAGCATATACCTTGATTTTTTGACGTTACATTTCGATTACAGGTTATCTCTTTACAGTTTTAAGAGGATAAAAGTAAATACAAATGTAAACATACGTGATAACGGTGTTTGAAATGCAATACCTTGGAGTCCGATGTGGCTTGGGGCAGGCAGTCCAACCCTGGTATGTGCTCTTTGCAGGCCAGTTCGTCATGGAGCACCACACTCTGCCGGCGCAGAAGTCCCACCTGGCTCCACCCGATCACCTGGGGGGTATCGAGCTGGAGCTGGAGTTGGTGTGGAGTGCCCAGACCTTCGACTCGCCCTACCAGCTGTGGCGTGCCACCAGCTCCTACAACAGGTGGCCCGGCCCGGCTGTGCCTCACGCCAGCACGAAATGCAGCAAGCATCACATGGTCATTCCACGGCAGTTTTGGCGGAGAGGCAGAGAAACGCGATGATTAGCTTCAGGCTCTACCGTTTGCTGCTGAGGTGTAATGGTCAGCACACTGGCCTTGCAATCATCTGGAGGTCGCCGGGTTTCTAAGTGTTCTCCCGGCACGTCAGTTGAAACAATGAAAAGTCACCCTAACATTTTCTGCGTCTGTATACCTACGTATGTAGAACTTCTTTCCCACCATACGTAGGCCAACCGTGCTAACTCGGGGGTGTGGGAGTGTAAACGGGTGCACCGTGATCGGCAGCTTGTGTGCACGGTGGGCTAAAGTGTAGGTACACCCACCTCTTCCAAGACGTCTGGCTATGGTAGCAGAGTAGGTCAAATACCCTCAATAGGGGGCTTCTCTTGAGCTCCCTCTGGCGGATGCCCTCCATCAGCAATGGCGTTCGCGAGTAATTGTAGGACTGCACCATTACCTTTTACTTTTCTTCTGCAGTGTTTTCAATAATTTCGGCTGCTTTCCCACCCTTATTATTATAATGACCGTTTACCCCTGTGAACCTAAAAAGGGTGAACTGCATATTCAGGGAGCAATTTGCAAAAGTGCACATGTTTTTTTAAAATCACAGTTGCTAAGCAAAGGCCCAAAGGCCCAAAACACCAAAGCTGAGATAAGCTTTAATCGGTTTCTTGAATTCAGAAAGTTTCTAAAAACTCGGAACAAAAATATTAGAGGAAATTCCAAATTGAGCAGTGCGAGGAATAAGGAGCAGAAAGACAAGTGTTTTCCTGTTTATGTCAGGCAATGTTGGTTTTGTTATCCTATTTGTTGTCATCAATAAATTGCATTGTTTTGTTATCCTCTGCAGGAAGGACTACTCAGGGGAGTACACCGTGTATCTGATTCCATGCACAGTGCAGCCCACACAGCCGTGGCTTGACCCAGGCAGCAAGGCCCTGTCCTGCACGGCACAGGCACCAGAGAAGTGAGTCGGACACTCAAAATCGAGTTCAGCCAAATGACGATGTAAACAAATGTGAAGATGAATAACCTACGCGGGATATATGCAAATAACCTATGGTATGCGTTTGATGCATCATAACCAACATCATCATCATCATCATCAGGCATGATCAATCCAAAGCTGGATGAAGGCTGTTCCAAGCTGTCGCCATGTAATAAATATACTCTAATTTAACAAACGTTATTGTCTGTTAAAGCGAGCTTTGGGCAATGCTCACATAGAATGGCAGCGATGAGCCAGTGCTGTAATTTCCACATGCCTGGTGGCAGAGACCAGTTCCTCCGGAAGGAAACCACTGTTGACAATTAAAGTTGTGCTGAACAGGTGGAACTTATTTTCTAGTCCCATGGCGATGACGAGCTAAATTGACACTGGCTTGGATTTGCACCTGCAATCCTCAACTTTGGGAGTGTCTATTCCACCAGCTGAGCTTAGGTTGCGTGTCGTTCTAAGGCGAACAGTAATTGTCACGTGCTGCGCTGCCCACACCTCCGATTAGCACAGTTGGCTACGTACCCTGCGAAAGAAGCTCAACATGCATACATACATACGTGCATCAGTGCATGAATTCACCTTGCATGTTTGAAGTAAAGCTGTAAATGTGTCGTTAAACCCGCCACCACCCGACACAGCCAATTAGTAAGGTTTGTCATGTAAACAAAACATGCCAATTCGTTACTCGTACAGCACACCGGCGTGTTGGGGAGTAAACCCACAACATGTACAATTCGAGTACGATGTTTCACCAGTAACGTCAACGCCGGTGATTCTTCCACGCCGCCGTCTGTGCCGCACGCAGGTTCCTGCTGCCCATCTCCTTCCAGCAGACAAACCGCCCGGTGCCCGTTGTGTACTCGCTCAACACCGAGTTCCACCTGTGCAACAACGACAAGGTGTTTCTGCTGGATCCCGGCAAGTCAGACGTGGCCCTGCCCGAGATGGACTACAAGGGCGCCTTCTCCATGGGTGAGTCTCATCGGAGAGGAACAAAGAGGGGGGTGGGGCTCTCAAGCGGACGAGGTCGACCTGCGGCTACAGAGATGCCTTCCCCCCCCCCCCCCCCCCCCCCCCCCCCCCGATGTGTTTTCAGGGTTGTGAGCGCGTGCTGCTTCGGCACGTCGTCCGAAGGTTTTCAACTCGCGTTACAGGGAGCTTCCTCGCAAACTGGATTGAGGTTTAGTTTGTGAAAAAGCTCCTCTTGGCACGTGGAGCCGATTGTCATACATCGCGGCCAAACAACATTCGGTACAAGCCGCAAACACGTTGCAGAGCTGTGCAGCATGATCGTGAAAACCTACGCAGTAGTAGCTGCTTTCAGGTGTTGTTTTATTCTGAAAAGGTCAGGTGGTGGGAGTTATGGCATTTGTCCTTTAAACTTAAAAAACCCCCATTTAAAATGATGTATGTGTCTGAATCAAGTTGTGTTATCCCTTCTTTCAGCTGTGAGATTATATAATGGCCAGGTGTTCTCGTATAACAATATGGGCTCTGACGTTGTCTCGCCCAAAGATCAACATTTACCAATTTACCCCCCTTTGTGACGTGCCTTACACAGATTTTGTTGATATGAAAAGCATGAAAAATAGAATTTTGATAGGCCAGCGAGAGCTGAGAATTAACTGCACTGGTCTTATTAATATGTCGAGCAGTGCTATTTATATTTGTGACAATACTGTGCTTTTTCCATCAGCTGCGTGGGTTGCATTTTAAACCGTACGACTGAGCAATTTGAATGACATCATTGGACAGTCCACCCGTATTTCTGACTGCCTTCTCTCATTCCACCCATTCTGGCCCCTCACACCCCAACAATCACCTCCACTCCACACCATCTGGTATAGTTAGAGAGATCAGGAATGCCGGCGAGCATTTAGAGAATGTCAATCCATCTCTCAGATGAAACGTTAAGCCAATATACTGTCTACGCTTCAGACATTAAATGTTCAGTGATGCTCTTAGATAAAGTGCATGGGTGTTAACCCGAGTGTCCTGGCTAATATCCCACCACAGTTCAAATCAGATTTTTTTCACCTTTGCAAATTCCTCCGATCTGCTAAACTCCCAGGACTTAAGCCCTTCACTGTGAGTAGGGGTGAGATGACCATGTCATGTGTACTCATCTCTAAAGGTGATCCCAGCATAATTTGTATGTTATTTAAAATAATATAATTATATTTTGATTTAAAGCTTTCGTGACTGCAGTAATTTATATTCTTAGTTCTTTCGGTAAAGTCACGTTGAAGGGAAACAATAAAATAATAAAATATATATAAAACAATAAAAATTATCACGACGTTTCGACCATAACACAAACGGTCGTCATCAGGTGTGAAAAAACCAACGGCAAGAAACATTTGAACGAAGTGTCGGTTTACATTTATTTATTTAGTTTTAAACGATGTATTTATTTATAAAAAAACGTTAGCGCCACGCGCAGCGATTTGGCAGTTTATTTAGAAGAACTAGTCCATCTATGCTCTGAAAAAAAACATCCAGGTCCGTTTCAACACATTACATAAAATCCGTGATCTGGTTCCGTCTGTAAAAGATGTGATTCCGGACATACAGTACCCTGGTGTCTACAAACTAAGTTGCCTCTGTGGTAGTAGTTACATTGGAGAAACCAAACGCCATGTCTCGGACCACATTCGTGAACACAAAGCAGACCTTAAACACGGTAGGACCAACACCTCGGCCGTGGCAGATCATTGTTATAATTCAGTAGGCTCATATGACATTGACTTCTCCAAGACAGAGGTTCTTTGTAAGCCATCTGGCTACCATGAGAGATTCGTTCATGAGGCCATCCACATATACAAGCACAGAGACAATTTCAACCGAGAAGATGGATTCTGGCTTAGCAATCATTAGAAGGATTTGATAAACCATTTCAGGTCTTAATTGATTGTTCACGCTTACGGTGGCTTTCAGACAGCATACATTAATTTTTCGTCTCCCCCCTCCTCTTTTCAGAACATAGATGGACTAGTCCTTCTAAACAAACTGTCAAATCGCTGCGCCTGACGCTGGCGTCTTTTTACAAATAAATAAATACACCGTCTAAAGATAAATAAATAAATGCAAACCGACACACCTGATGACGACCGTTTGTGTTATGGTCGAAACGTCGTGAGAATTTGTATTGTTTTATCTTATTTTATTCTCATTCTACGTGACTTTACTGAAAGAACCAAAGAAGATGAATCCTTGCAGTCACGAAAGCTTTAAATCGAAATATGAATATAATCATAGTATATGGCAAAAATTACAATGTTACAACTGTTATTTCTATTGCAACTACACTATACAAGCTAACAATACCTCTTATTCTGTACAACAGCCATGCAATTTATACTTAAGAATACCTTTGTCAAGTACTAAAAAAACAACAGGATTGCATACAAAAACAGTGACCATTTCTACGTCTCCAAATAAAATTCACGTCAAGAACGTAGTGGTAATAAATAAATGGTCCGTAACTTGTTATGGTTCTTTGTAAATCCAAGTGTATAGTAACGACCCAAAATAGAAAGAAAACAATCACAAATGTTTCAAGTCACACCAGAAACACCGGATCGTCATTCAAGCTGCAAAATAGACAATGACCTCTTGTTTTCACACATTCCTGCTGCAGGTCAAACGCTGTATGGCCGTGTGCTCTGGAACCCCGACCAAAACCTCAAGTCGGCCTACAAGCTGCAGCTGGAGAAGGTGTACCTGTGCACGGGGCGCGACGGATACGTCCCGTTCTTTGACCCGACGGGAACCATCTACAACGAGGGGCCGCAGTATGGCTGCATTCAGCCCAACAAGCACCTGAAGCACCGCTTCCTGCTGCTGGTACCTGCAGCGCATTGCAATGATCACCGCCGTGGCACTCCTCTGAATGCCTTTCGTAAACTGCGATGCCGTCATAGGCTCATCGTTAAACTTCTTCCTCCTCGCGTCCTCGTAATGCTCGCTCGCAGGACCGGAACCACCCCGAGGCAGTGGACCGTTACTTTCACGACGTGCCCTTTGAGGCGGGCTTCGCGTCCGACGTGCCCGAGTTCCAGGCGCTGTGGGACATGCCCGGAGTGGATGGATTCAGCATGAAGGTGGACGCCCTCTACAAGGTGTGAGAACACGGCGAGGGGATGCACGCACTCACACGAACACACTGCGATGTTACCCGGGTCATAGGGCTTGCCGGTCTCTAGTGCATTCTTGCATTATCTTCAGCAGATTCTTGAGAATTTTTTTTTTTTACATACGTGTATGTAAGTATGTACGCACGCACAATGTTGCCTCTGGAGTTATTGGATTCATTTTTGCGTATCTTTGACTGTGCTATTTTGTGAATACTGCGATTACTTATGCCATGATTGGTCATGTACCTTCTCCTAATGAGTGCACTTTTCACTCCATCATTGTGAATCTGCAAGTTCATTCTGGCAAGCATTTGGGTTTTACCAACCGGTTCCCATTGGTCTTCCGGTGCTCTCCCTGGCATTGCAGGTCGCCGCCGGACACCAGTGGTACCTGCAGGTAATTTACCTGATCGGGCCAGAGTCGCACGGCCCCCGCCTACGCCGCTCGGCGTCGATCGGCCTTCCCAGCCGCCAACGCCGCGACCTGCTGGACCGCGACGGCAAGCTGGCGCTCCACGACTCGGTTATCTACGACGAGGACGAGAGCCTGGGCGCCGGCGACGCCGACGTCCGCAACGGCACCAACATGAAGACGCTGCAGCTGCAGCAGAGCGGCGCGGCCGCCTCCCTGGGGCCCGGCTCGGGCGGCGCGACGGCCGCGGCCACCGCCGCCGCCGCCGCCGTCTCGGCCCTGGCCGTCGCCGCGGCGGTCGCGACGTGCCTGGCGTGCGTGGCGGCGAGGCGCAGGCGCGCCAGGGCCAAGGAAGGCGCCTTCGCGGGCAGGCGCGCGAAGGCGCCTGTCGACTACCCGCTCAACACCACGGCGGCGACGGCGGACGCCAAGCGGGTGGATGAGTCGGAGCGCCCGCTCAACCCCGCACGCACGAGCGCCCTGGTGAAGAACGTCAACCTCCTGAACAAGAACGACGACGTGGAGCTCGCTCGAGTCAAGGGAGTCAAGGTCAAAAGGGTCAACCTAGAGGTCAAAGTTCAGAACAACTTGCATGATGGCACAGAGGTGTGAATTATATATATATATTTTTTTCCCCTCTTTCAGGTGTGCTTGTTGTTGTGCTAAAAGGCCAATGTCTTGTGCGAGCAGTAGTCTTTGTTCACAGACACCGGTCTCCACCCTGATTTGACTTCAGAATTTGGCAATTCTGGGCAATTCTGAAGTCGCGAATAACGTAGCATTGATTGGTATCAATGTCAACAATTGAAAATAAGTGCTTTGACCAATTTCAGGACATGAACCTTAAATGCTTTATTGTATCCTATTGCATATCAATGTTAACTTTGTATTAGTTGTATTAAAACAAAAGGGCTTCTCTGACCCTTTATAAAGTGTAAAATAGATGGTACTTATTCAACCAGGATGAACTTGTCCATCTGGAGCTTTGAGAAAAATACTTTTAAAAGTTAATTTTTATGCCACAATTTCAGAGGAAGAATACAAATGATGCACTTGGAGAAGTAAATAGCTTGCTGCTTCACAATGGCCTTTTTCTGCTCCGAAGTGGCATGGAGACAATGCTGACAATTACCAATAACCAAACAGTTAAGGTACGCTGTAGTCAACGCATCTTGGCAATTGTTAAACTCCTGCGTGACACAAAAAAAGCGAATTTGTGCCAAGTCGCAAAAAATGTAATCTGTTAACCAGCTCGGTAGCGTTTACGTGAGCCTTGATAACTATTACTTTGAGTTTATATTATTTTAAAAGTTTGTTGTTATCAATAGCTTTTCAACCTAATTTCTGGATAAAAAAGGCTTTTAAATAAAACATGGCTGTGTATTTAAAACTACGAAAAGTTTTCCATTCAAATTTGTACATTTTTATTTGGTATGGTTTAACAAAAAACACACCTGGTCTTTCCACAAATGAATGCGCAAATAATGTACAATCAATGAGCAAGTTAGTATTTTTGAAGGAAGAGCATGACAAACATTTCATGGTTCCATGGGGCCAGGTGATGGCTGTTTACCATTGGTAGACCCATGCAGATCCACCCCAGTTCCGATCGGGCCTTTGAAAACATCAACACGATTGCACCTGCACAACCACCCATACCGCACTAAACTGTGTTTATTTTTTCAGGCCCGCTCAAGGTTTAGAGCAAGGGGGGAAAAAATCCCCATCTGTCGGGCCACTGACGTTATACTGTGCCCACACCCCCTTTTGACCAATGATGCATAAAGCAAGGTACAAAAGTAGACTCGGGGATTCATGAGTGGGTATGGCACATGTAAAGCCCCATCATACTGAGAACCCAATCACCTTTACTCCAACAGAATATCTATTCAATTCAGTGATAATTATTGTGCCGCTTCAGGATGTATTGTACTTCAGTTTGGTGAGTTTGCCTCAAGCTAATAAGCACTCGGTAAATCAAGGTTAGCCATCGCAGAATTTCCTTCAGCTAAAATTAGTGAGTCAAATGTAATGAAAACATGAATAACTCTAGAATTGAAAGCTGTGTCCCTTTGAGCTTTTCTCAAAATGGAGGATGTCTTTGGGGGGCTATGAAAGTACAGATCTGCACCAAATTTTGCTCCATGTAGGCTGCAGTTAGTGTTGCTCAATCTATCTACCAATTCTACACGTGAACAAAGCTCAAAATGTAATGAGGGACAAGTGTTGATGTTTGCGGACCCTTTTAATAAAACAAAATGTGTTTCTTTGCACAAATTATTCCAATTGTGTGCTATCAGTATCATGTCACGAGATAAGGCAGCTATTTGGAAATTTCACAGATCAGCATTACTCTGTGTCAGAGTGCCTGGGGATGAGATTTCACATGGCGTCTCCTGAAAACTCCTTCAAGTGGCCTTTTTATCTTCTTTTACAACCGGGGTTGTACTTCCACATACACTGCTAAGAAGTTGTCTAACGATTGAAAACAATATATATTTTTGGAATGTTGCTAATTCAAATAAATAGCAGAAATATCAACGAAATTAGAAATGTCAACGATATTTTTTTCTACACTTGTAAAACCGGTTAAAGCGGGCAGCTGCCTGCATTCAAAACAATGATCTCAATGTTACTGGACTGGGTGCCCTGGCATCCGAGTTAGCGGTTCACCTCAGACCCTTTAACATTGGTTTGGTGTGTACAATGTGCCCGGCCATGCACACCTATAGTGTACTGAAATAATGTCACATTGTGTGTTTTTTTAAACACGTTGCTTGTGCTTGCCAACTGGTTTTAATGCGAGTAATGCCAAGCTAATGTTGCCTTTTATTGCGGGATTAAAATTACGTCTCTCATGAACTGTCGTTGATTTTAACATCTTATGCATAATCCAGTTGTGTAATAGTACATGTTTGTGCATTTAATTATAATGTCACTCACCAGATGGCTTTGTATAAAACATTATACTTTCGGTGCTAAAATAACTTCTAAGTGTCTACTAATGTGTTACATGCAGTCCTGTATTTTCCTTTGAATGATTACATAAGCCATGCTAAAGATTGGTTCATGTAATTTTGATGGTAATAACATTTCCTAACGCATCAAAAATTACATGATACCTTTGTTCAAAGATTTTTTTTTCAATTACACCACCAACAAAAACATAAAAGCTCGAGGCATTTGGTACAGCAACACCATGCTGGTTAGCTTTGATGTGCACTGCTGCGTGTACAATCTTGAGGACTTTGGATATTAACATTGGCAAATCCTACCAAGATTAATTTCAACCATTTCCATGCGATAATAGTAAGGTAGCCAGATATTTAGCGGAAGAATTCCATGCAAAACAACTAACCCTCCTGAATTGAAGCCACTTAAAATGTTCTCGATATTTTACTCCTTGCAGATTTTTTTGTTCATGTTGTTTATTTTTAATTTATATTGACTGCAGCCATAAATGTTGTATGTAATATTGTGTTTTAACCACTAATTAATAGCCTGAATTATTACTCTAAAGTCTAAGCAACCATTGAGACAAGTCTGGTCATACAATTGGGGGTGGGAAGTACCAAAGTGGATATGCTCCGAGATGGAGAGAGAACAGTTTTAGAAGAGCAGCTGAAAGCAATCTCAAGACAGAAATATCTTGCCCTCATTACCTGGGGTAACAAGGGAAATTGTGTTAGCACCGCTTGCACCATTGTCTCTCACTGCCCCATATCCTGGTGATGGATATGCCATCCAGAAAATTCCATATGCCCTTGTATGCTACTGCTCATTACAAAGTAGTGCAGGGCTTCTATATATTTGTCAAATGTGAGACAAACTAATCAGGCATATACACTAAAAAGGAGTGTTACTAATAATGGATTTCAAGATGGTGCTAAGTTTCTAACTTTGTATATTATGTACCCACCTCCATAAACATGGGTAAACCATCATTTAATTTGTACTGAATAAAATGTTTTGCAATATTTTGGTTTACTGGTTCATACATTGTGCGGGCATGTGTGAAATGTTGCTTCTGCGAACTCTTCATATGAAATGAAGTTATTCTCATGCTCAACGTTCAGTTATCCCCGCTCATCATTGACCTGGGCTCCTTTTCAACAAGTTCCAATACTCACACGTGTTACAATACAAATTGTGTCACTTCAGTTGTGGTATTATTTTGTTGTGGCACATGTAGATGCATTTATACATTAAAGGAATATGTTGTGGGTTTCTCCCTGGTGTTTGGCATTGCTTTTAAAACAACTTTTAATTGTGGCTTTCATATAACGATGGTGCATAGTTTTCTAAGGTTGCTGTTTTGCTTTAATAACAATTTAAATGCCTTCTGCCACAATGGCAAAGATTTGCATATTGTAGAATGACGGTCGATTCAACGCTCGAGTTTGTTCACGTTATTTTAGACCGGTGTCAGCTGCTGAATCTCAATACAATACATTAACCAATTCGTGCCTGCAGTTTTAATTTGGATTAAAAATGGTGTTAGATATATAGCTACATTATTTACAGTTAACAGGAATGCGTTGGCTTTAAAATGCTTTCTAAATCTTTTTTTATTTTACTGACACAGGTGACATTTGCACCTCAGTTTTTTTTCCTATTCTCACAAAGCTTCTATTATGGGCAATGCACAGTAACAGCTACAGACGGCGCAAGTCTTTACAACGGAGATGCCGCCACGTCTTGCTTTGAGGCAACTCCAGCCCACACGTGAACACGGAGAGACATTAACATGTCACCAAATTGTGCGGTCATTTTTTATCGTTTTGTCCTCGTGTAATTCCTGGTGTGCGGGAAAGCGTGAATAAGCAAGGCAGCCACAAATCCATTTGGCACCCATGAGGCCTTCAAATTGGGCTCCCTTTTGATTTATTTCTCATTATCCTCCGTGCCATTTTATAATCGGTGTATAACATGATTATACACGTGGTTGCGAATATGAAAAATCAACTATGCTTTTACGACAAAAAATGTTTCGTAGGATGCGCTTTTGCTCATTTAGTGAGAAGCTGTTATGGAATGCGTAGAGAGGGTGAATCCCTTGAGGGTGGATTCTGGCAAAAACCCAGGAATTCTTAACCAACTGGAGTTGGTGTATGTACATGGAATGCATACACCTTAGCAGAACTTCTAAAAGTTGTAAATCATAGAGCTGCAAATCGGCGAGATGTTATTTGAAAGCTTTGCCACTCAAACGTGACACAGGCAATAGCTCTGGTGATTGATGTTAATGGCTTTAAGCCAGAGGTATCAGGTGCCACGCTATTAGTTTGTGCTCACCTGTCAATATTAGATATTATTTCGACGATATAGGCCATGAAAAAGCAAACTGACAGATGCTTAAACGTGTAGTTGTCTGCTTTTACGCCTTCACCTGATTTGTTAATTTTGAACTCCATCAATGTTTCAAAATAATGTCCACTCGGCCAAGATTTTTCAATTTACGGTTTAACTTATTTTCGACACTGTACCAGAAAACCGACGAGTGATCGAAACATTGGAACACATCCCTCCTGTCAACGATCCCTCTGGTTCAATAAAATCAGTTAAGCTCAGCATCGAGATTGGTGTTACTTTTTAAAAGTTTCCACAATTATGTTATCATTGTTCCATAAGCATGAAGTCAAGCTCGCAGTCCGTCACTCTGCATCCAAGAACGGGCACCAGGAGATGAAATCAGATTGCATATGAAATCACTTTAATAGGCCGATTAATCCATGTTCGAGGCAACTTTTAACAGCCTGCAGAGATCGTCAAGAAATAATTATCCCCCAGTGCTGGAATTCAGTAATGCCCACATTTTAAACGTGATGTTATTTTATGCAAACGTTGATGACTGGGGCCCGAGACCACCAACTTGCACTTTAGAACTCAATTAAAATTTTAGGCTGCTATCTGGATTTGAATCCAGGTTCTCAGCGACACATACAACAAATGGTCTCCATATTTCCACAGGATATTAATCTGGTCGGGTGGTGATGTAGCAAAGCAGTGAATCAACATGAAACAATTGACAATTGTGAAGCCAACTTAAAGCTTGCTATCGCGTCAAAGCTTTGAAACGATAGCTCCCAAGAGCAAGATTTCAAAGCTACCGATATATTTTCGTGTATTATTAAAAACATTAAAACGTGCATAAGCTGGAAAAACATCACTGTAGAACGTGACTTGGTCATGGTCGTAATTCATAAAGATCTAATAATTATCCGACTGAAAAGAAAAACTGAAAAATGGCACTTAGTGTTCAATTGAAAAGGTTTCAAATATAGTAATAAATTTAGAGGTCTGACATCCTGCACTGGTCTTACCAACAATAGAGGACCTCATCCATTGTGTAGGTCAATTCTGAATAGCGCGGTCTCTTCAACCACAAGGGTCTGACCTCACACTTGCCCTGTGGTCAAGTGTCAAAAATAGATTCAGAATAAAACCCGAACGAACGTGGGCTCGCCCTATTGGGCCCCCACGCTCAACCTGGTGGTCACGGATTTATCGCGCTCGATGAGAACATGAAGCCTATCCAGGCGGCCTTGCTAGGAGGAAGGCATCACAATTGGAGGAACATTTGAAAAATCCCACAAATGGGCTTTTGCGACTACCACAACATGTCCACGTGTTTGGCAAATAATGGAAGAATAACGTTTGTCTTATTTGTCAAACTCTCAACAGATATGGGCGTGCACAATAAAATATAGTGAACCTTTCAATTTTGATTTAAAGCCTTCATAACTGCAGGGATTCATATTATTGGTTCTTTCGGTAAAGTCGCGTAGAAGGGAAACAATAAAATAAAAAAATATATAAAACAATACAATTCTCACGACGTTTCGACTGCAACCACAAGCAATCATCATCAGGTGTGAAAACCACAGCAAGAAAATTTGAAAGTGGCGTTTTTTTAACGTTAGCACCACGGAGAGCGATTTGGCAGTTATTCAGATGGACGAGTCCATCTATGTTCGGAAAAGAAGAGGGGGGGGTGGGGGGAGACGAAAATAATGGATGCGGTCTGAAAGCCACCGTAAGCATGAACAATCAATTAAGACCCGAAATGGTTTATTAAATCCTTCCAATGATTGCTAAGCCAGAATCCATCTTCTCGGTTGAAATTGTCTCTGTGTTTGTATATGTGGATAGCCTCATGAACGAATCTCTCATGGTAGCCAGATGGCTTGCAAATAACCTCTGTCTTGGAGAAGTCAATGTCATGTGAGCCTACTGAATTATAACAGTGATCTGCCACGGCCAAGGTGTTTTTTTATTATTTTATTGTGTCCCTTCTACGTGATTTTACCGAAAAAACAAGAATATAGTGAACCTTCTTCTTTGGTTATTTCGGTAAAGTCACGTAGAATGAGAATAAAATAATAAATTGATAAAATAAAATAACACAATAATTTATTTTATTAATTTATTATTTTATTCTCATTCTACGTGACTTTACCGAAAGAACCAAAGAAGATGAATCATTGCAGTCACGAAAGCTTTAAATCGAAATATAGTGAACCTTGTTGAAATAAATGTAAGCTTGTTTGTACAAAAATGTAAACTTACTACTCCAATGTCCCAGGCCAAACAAAAAACTTAAATATTGCGTAAATATCAAATTATTTGATAGTAAAATTTTTATCAAATTAACTCAGCCATAGAAAAACAAAGAGCATTTGGTTTAAAAGCATTTTATTGGTGTGACATTGACCAGAGTGTAAATTATAAACAGTATGAGTCTTATTCAGAGTTGTTCGTAAATAAACTCTGCACAAAATAAATCATTCTGTAAAATATCAATAAATACTGCATTTTAAAGATTAATACTGATAATTTGAACCTTACATATGTAATGTTCACAAAGCATATACAAATCTATACCTCTGTAAAATATACTTCCCTCAAAACATACATTTATATAAATACTGTACCATCCATATAGCGCATTACAGGTGTAAATAAAAGTGAGCAGTACAAAATACATGAATGCAAAACCACATATAATTCATATTTTATGTATAAAATGTAAGAGTGCACGAAAAATTATATCACATAAGCATTTGCAAGGCTCCGGGTACGTTTCACTCCTGGTGCAGATGCCCATCATTTGACTCGCACATCGGCTTGCGAGCCACAAGATACACACGATAAGATGTGGATCTTCAGAGTTTCTCGGCCGTAAAGTTCCACAGCTGATGAGAAAAAAAACGCAATAACAAAATCACGAGAAACAGTGCAACGTTTGGTTTCATTTAAAACGAGCTACAGGAGAGTACATCTTATTGTAAATAGGTAGCCTTTCAGTTTAACACGTAGGCTTTCGCGACCAACATTATTATTCACCATTTAGGCTTTTTGGGGCTAGGTTGAGCCACCACCCGACAGTCAATTCGTAAGATTTGACAAGTAAACAAAACGTGCCAATTAGTTACTACTTCAGAGAGCAAACCCCCAACATTTACACTTTGAATACCACGTTTTCGCTGGTAATTACAACCAGCTTCTTCGGGCGATTTTTGCCAGAATTCTGGCAAAAAAATCGTTGCGACTTCAACACCCATGTGCTGAAGTCGTATTGAATTGGGAACATGAATCACAGTAATTTAATCTTGTGGGGGATGTGAATCGTTGCCCCTGTTCACCATTAAATTATCCTAAACAGCATGTATGCTGCATGTATGCTGCATGTATGCTGCATGTATGCTGCATGTATGCTGCATGTATGCTGCATGTATGCTGCATGTATGCTGCATGTATGCTGCATGTATGCTGCATGTATGCTGCAGAGCACCATACATACGATGAGTGGGTGTTTTAATTGTGCTGAATTTAGGTTTTTAATAAAAACGCATTTTACATGTGTATAATACACATGCAGCAGCCTATTATTTACTACATTTGATTAATGTTTACAAGTAAAAAAAATAGTTTAGGCGTGAGATTTTTTATTATTAATAGTTTATCTGCGAAATCCCTTAAGATGGAACACCTTATGTGCGAATGTATCCAGGGTGAATTCGACGTTTAATATTTAGAGGTGTGCTCTTAATAAAGTCTCTACAGTATGAATTGCCCTTGTGTGCAATTAATCAAACTTTGAAGTGCAAAGCACGTTGGTGGCAAACAGACTTGCCGGAGATTAACCCAAGATGACGTTAGAAAAGCATCAGTGAGGCAAAGGAATGTTAACATCGAAAGAATGAGCAGGAGCAGAGAGAATAAATTA